AGTGTCACTGGCCCTCATATGTGGGATCTGAACCGGGGCCCTCTGGCGTCCCAAGCCAGCTCTTAACCAACGCGCCACTCGGCCGGCCCCTGATCTACCTTTACATAAAGGAAGGGGGAAACCCTAGTGCCATTAAAATCTGGTTTTCACTTCATAAGTCTCTACCTAATGAAAGCATACAGATAACTTGCACTGACTTATGGTATCTTTCTTCAAAACTCTATAAATTCAATTTTACTGTTTATTTCCCCCAAAATAACATTCTTGCTATATTTAAGGAATGACTGCCAAATATCTAGGCCACAGACAATTTGTCTTCAGTAGGTAAAGACTAGAAGCAAAGTTTGTGTGACTCAGTTTACATACATACATATTGTGTATCTTATTTGCAATGAATTTAGATTTTTAAATTCTGTTTTACTATGTTTTATTTTTTTAAAAAAGGCAGGTCACTCCCATTAAAATAATTTCTCAACTCACTAATGGTTATGCTTGCAGTTTGAAATTCACTGAGCTAGACAGAATATGGCATTTTGCGATTTATTTATAAAATTGGAATGAAAGGTTTACACATATATATTCTCAAATATCATCTATGATAATATCCCATGAAAATGTTTTAAAACTTAAGCTCCTTATACACCTGAAACTAGTAAAAAAAAAAAATTTAAGCTCCAACAACCTTTGAATAATCTCCTTTCAAACCAAAAGCATTTTAACAAGTTAAAAACATGGGTACATATTTTTGTCCCTCCTTTCCTGCCTTAATCTAAAAGAATAAAATGTTGTACTAGAAATCTTTCTGGTCACTCACTGGTAGTTCATCCAATAGCAGCAGCCCCCAAATAACAGAACACTAGTTCAAAAGCAATGTTGTTGTTGACAGCTAATACATAGGAAAAAAAAATCCTACTCCTATACTGGCAGGGTGTTTTAACTGATTTGGAAAGCCCTCTATAGAGAGAAAATAGTATCTTCTGGGAGAGTTATATAAATGGAAGGAAGAAATGAAGTGATGCGAGTTTGCTGACCCTGCTTCCAGAGTACACACAGAAAGGTTTGGAGGAATGAGACAAGACAGGTCAGAGGTATCAAGGGGGAGGGAAACATAACAATGAGAGTATGAATTAAATAGATTTAATGGTCTGACCTAAGATAAATCTAATTCCTTGAAATAATGGAGTTCAACTGTGCTTACTTAATGCAGCTGAATCCTAAAATAGAATGTTTCTATACAAAGTCCTGATTTAACATATTTCTAAAATTTCTGACCTCAAGATGGTCAAAATATATGTACTAAAGCTCCCCAGAATGCATAACTTTGAATAATGTTAATACGTGTTTGGCACTCTTTCTAAAAAATGATCAATGAATTTTAGCTAAGTAATAAAAATTATTTTAATTTACTTCAAATCTAGGATACATTGCTATTGAGAGCACACACTAATCAGTTTTGATAATGAGTTATGTGGCCACTTTTTGCCACCCTCACAAACAACATGGGATATAATTTTAATTTATATTCTGCTTTTGAAATAACTTTTATTTGAATATATAGGAAAACCTATTTATCCATTTATATGTATAACATGGGATATACTAACATGAAAAAAACCCCTCTGTTGTAATTTTATGTCAGAAAAAATGGCTGAAATCTGGTCAGAAATATAGGATCTAAATTCTTTTCAATTTTATACTGAATAAAATATTGCAGTCTAAAAATACTTACACCCATCTCTCATTCCAAAAATACAAAAGCTTATCCACTTGAATCACAGACACACCTAAATTAAAGTACTTTAGAACAGCCTTTTTTTTAAACCTCTTTTAAAATTCATTTCTAAAGAGCCTTAAAAAGTATGATTAGGATGTAACTGGCCTTGGCATCTAATATTACACCATTGCTAGGGTCTGGTGTATAACATATACTAAAACTACTGTAGAACTGCTATACTATAGGGAATATAACCTTCAGAGAAATTGTGTCTTAAAAAAACCCCCTCACAACCATGCAAATATAATACATATCCTTTCATCTTGGCTCTCTAAAATTAACACTGTAAAAATGATTTATAGGAAATTAACAGAAAAACACTGTCAATAAACCTGCTAAAGTGATTTTATAAAAATGCATTACTTTGAAATATACCAGAGTGTTAAATCTGGGTTTGCTTCCCATTCAATACCTCTCCAACACAGATTCCAGGAACAATGTAAATCCATAAACACACAGCTATATTAAAAATTGAGGTGTCAAAATAATTCCAACTTTTCAGATAAATCTATAACTCTAATTACTAATGTTTACAAATTACAATAAATTTTCAAACAAATTCTATTTTATATTTCTTATAAACATATATAATAGTACTGAACTGAATCTTATACAAGCTCTAAAGATTTAACTTAGAAAAATTAAATTAGTAATTGTTTAAAAAATTTTTAAATTATAATTAGCAAAGATATTACATTTGCTTTGACATGAGGTTTAAGAGTAGAATAAGAAAAAAAGAAGATAAACAAATTTAAGGAGCATTAATAGAAAAAGCAGTTATAACCTTTAAATAATACTAGAAAAGTCATTTTTAAAAGTCTGGTCCAAAATAGTGTACTGGTTAATCAAATTAAAGAACACCCATATTACAGAAAATTGTATAGCCATTTAAATATTGTAGAGAATATTTAATAATATGGGAAAATACCCAAAATATATAATGTGAACACAGAAAATTACCTATACAGTATGATTTAGTTTTGATATAGAAATGCATACCTTCTTAGGATTAAGGATAATTTCTATTTATTATTATTTTCTATGATATGTTTCTATTATAATAAAAAAAATAATACATACTTAAAATCATAATTTCATCATGTTTTCTTACCTGAAGGTACTAGAGAATCTTGTTCAACAATTCTTGCAGAGGCCAAGTCACTGATAATATATTGCAGCCTTAAATGTCTGAATACTGACACAAATGGTTTTCCTTGCTCAGTTTCAAGGAAGGTCATACCTTCAAAATCTATAAAAAACAGTTTAAATTAAATTGCCATTCTTTTCAAATCTATTAATTTTATTTTTAAATGTTTTATGGGTGGAAACAGCGCGCGCGCGCACACACACACACACACACACAATTAGAATACAAATAAGCTAGTTTCAAAGTTTTCAAGAATTTTTTATAAACCTTAGGTGTGTGGATAAAAAGTTGGGGAAATTTATAAAAAAGCCCCAGGAAATTAACTTTGGAGCTTACAGTGCAGCTAGGTGAGAAAGGAATGCTTGAGAATGGTAGTTAGGATTAAGGTGTCTCTCCAGAATTCCCTCTCCAAGGCACTGAACCAACACTCCAGTGGAACTCCAGAGCCTAAATGCGTCACTCAAGGGTCTTCGCAAGAACACAGGTCATAGAATGTCTCTTGGGATTCTCCTAACTTATGCTTTAGTTACATGTGATGAACACTAATTTATTACTTCTCTATTTAAATACTTTAAAGAAGATATAAAGACATTGCAGCCATGGATTGGCAACACATGGGTAGTATTTATTATTAAAATAATTCAAGCTTAAGAAGTATATGAATTTTTTTCTTTTAGGGACAACTTAAAGTTATTTCTAAAAATAGATACTTACTCCCAGCTGCATTCCAATGTGCTTGCATGAGCCGGAGGGAAAGGTCTAGAGTTACTGCTATCAAACAGGGCCTCATGCATAAGCCCTGGTCTGTTTTCTATTAAACAAGATCTACCCATGGGAGTGTATTGAGCCCTGTTGCTAGTAAGGATAGGGAAAAGAAGTTGTGAGTTGCGATTGAAGACTATTACTTCTCAAACTATGCTTTACATGGAACACAGGTTTGCTGTGAACCAGAAAGGAGGTGATGCCCACTAAAATAATTTTTTCTTGAAAACTGCAAAATGACAGTCAAATTAATGAAAAAGAATTTTCACAATTTTCAAATTTTTATTTCAAACATTTTTTGTATTCCTTTGGCACCTGCCTAGAGTCAAAGCAAACAAGTAGTAAACTCATTTAAAAAATAGTTAACTTTATTTACTTATATAACAGGCATGGACTGTAGATTTACGTGTCTTATCTTTTTTTTTAATAACATTAGTTCTACTTCATATGTTGAATTAAATGTGCCAATTTCATGGGGGTGTACTAAGAATACCATTATGTTCTTATCATAGGTGCTTATCTTAGGTACTCCATCACATGAACTCAAGTTATAAAAATCTAATTCTAGATTGTCATAGAAATCTGGAAATTATCCCATGAAGCCTTTTCTTCAAGGGCATAAAAGAGACTGACTCATTTACTTTTGTAATAATTCATGGAATTAAAAGAAAATATGTTTTAAAGATTCTAGCTGACTAAAAATGTGGCCATACTAATTGCACCTGCCAAATTCAATAGCAATCTATATATATAATTGCAAAAAATTTCTAAATTTCTATTTTTTTCTTGTAGTCCTGACCCATTTAGATCTGAAAAGCCAAATAATTAAGAAAAACTAAGAGAAATATACCAAAATATAATGGATGAGGGGACCACAAGTGATTTTTCTGTCCTATTTCTCGAGTATTCATGTTTATAATTTTAAAACTGTGTGAAATGACCTCAAAAGTACTCACTGAAAAATAAGAGCATTACACATATATTTTGCTTTATGCAATAAAGGTCTCCCTGAAAAGTTATTTTAAACTGTATACTTTTACATTACTGAGGCCGGCCGGGGTGGAGAGCCCACAGTGAGGAAACCAAAAGTGGCCCACAGCTTCTTACTCTCGTTTCTGCCACTTAGGCTACAAAATAATTTCTCTCTTGATGGATTGCTGTGGTACACATCCCTCTGGAGCTCAACTAAGCATAAGTTTATGTCAACATTTACCTAACATCTGCTATTTCTATTGCGCCTCATTGTCTTTTTAACTTCTCTACCCTCTTTATCTCTTTCAGATTTTATCTCTCTCCTGTTTAAATTTTCTCCTCTGATCCCTAATTTCTCTGACCCTTCTTTAAATACCATAATGTAAGACTAAAGCATAATTTAAGATATGTTGAGCATTTTGTTCTTTAAGTAAATCAAGTTAGATTTTATTGGCATGGTCCTTTTTACATTTCTGATTTATGAACTTGATAGAAAAATAATTTATCTGGTTCTAAGCTAGAAAATCTCACTTCATAAAATAACTCTACAAAATTTATTTAAACAAGACACAAAGAGCACTAAATTAAAAACTTCTATTCATTAAAAGACACCTTTAAGAAAGTAAAAAAAGAAAATCTACAAACCGGAAGATAAGTGCAACGCATATTTATGACAAAGGATTGGTTATCAAGAATATGTAAAGAATGCCTACAAGTGATTAAGAAAAGACAAACAATATTAAAATAGGAAAATGATCTGAACAGACATTTCACAGAAGAGGAAATATATGGCCAATAAACATCTAAAGAGCTGTTCAATCTATTTATCTTAAGAAAATGAAAATCAAGACAATATGAAATGGTATAATAACAATCAAAACAAAAAGATATTGTCCGGTGTGTGCTGGAGCTGGCTAGAACTGGTTCACAGAAACTGATGGTATGCTTTTTCCCCAACTCTGTATTCAGTAATGTCATGTTGGTAGCTTGCAACAGGCCAAGTTGGGAGAATTTGTAAAATGGAAATTTAAAAAAATGATACAAACCGGGATTATATTTTCAGATATACAGTTTACCAGCACACCACTATATTTGTAAAGACATACATGCATAATGCAATAATATTATTCTTTTTTAAACAAGGAAATAATAAATACAAATTCAAGACAGTGGTTGGAGAAAGTCAGAGGGACATAAAAGGAAAGAAGCACACGAGTAGACTGAAGTTATTAATGATTTAGTATTTGAAGATTAATTTCTAGAGGTTCAATATATTATTAAAAATAAACAAAAAAGATGGCCCTGCAATGACCAAAAATGACAAGTAAACTAAGAAAATCATGGACTAAGGATTGTGATTTATCTACTTCCTTGTACTTGAGGGCCATTACAATTTTTTTCTGTATCTGTTTTAGCAAAGTAAAAACATAAATATATTGCATGCTCCACCTGTCTAGATAAGAAAGATCTTATGGCCGTTGATCTTAACCAAGTTGAGATCAGGCTTTCCTGGGAATCTCATGAAAGGTATGGAAGCTCTCGCCCAACAACCCCAAATGCAACACACACAGACACGAAATTTTGCATCCACTTTTGGGGGTTAGTGACATACCGAAGCCTGTTCATTGGCCCCCCACCCAACCATGTTAAGCACTGTTGCCTGAAACACAGGGTTTAATATGTTAGGGAAAATTCAGTGTTGTCTAACAAAAGACAAATGCTATCACCAATATCTGTCGGTGATGAAAATGGAAAAAACAATAATTTTGGGAATCAATACATGGTGTTAGTTCAAGGAATAATAATTCAGTGAATACTAAGCAAGGCATTTTTCTTATCCAGCCTCAATTTTCTCAGTGTAAATGAGGGGCTGAATTAGATAATTGCAAAGGTACTCTCCAGCTCTAAAATTCTCTAGGTCTATAAATAAGTCAGACTCTGATTTTAATAAATTTCAATTAAGAAAACAAATGAACAATTTCTCAATTAAAATTTCAGGCGTACCTTTTCTCTTCTTAGAAAACCAGACATCTGTTTCAGTCAAAAGCTGTTTTAAAGATCCATTCCAAGAAGGCACAAGTTGAAGGAACATCCACTAGGTTAAAAAAGTAAATAAGAAAAAAAAATTACAAGATTTTATCATATTATGATTTTACATTTTTAAACTGCTGCTACCTTAAAACATAATATCTAAAAAGATTAATTTTCATTACAAGCAATTGAAAGAAGTAGAACTGTTACATGACATGCTTACAAGATTTAAATTAATCATGGCATTAATTGTTGTCCAATGATAAAAACTAGGTGAGTGTGTGATAAAGAATAAACTAATCTTTGAAAGTATTTAGGTCTCAAACACTGTAGTTACACTATTAAAAAGTAAAGGTTTAATATGTATACATTAGCAATTTTATACTAATTTATGCTACTCACCAGTTAACTCAATTTCACTATATACTATGTGAGATTATAAAAGGAATAAATTAAACAAGGGAAAAAGGAGTGTCTTATTGTCTTATTGCTGTTGAGAAAGTATGCAGAGTAATAAAGAGCATGGACTTTTAAATCCTGACCCTGCTACTTAATAGTTAGGCAAATTACCTAATTTCTCTGGGCCTTAATTTCTTCCTTTGTTTAATGAGCATGATCATGTCTACCTCATAGGACAGTAAAACAATATGTATAACGTACTTTGAATAATGCTTGGCACACACTAAGCATTTATCATTACTGTCATAAAAGCAGTTACAATAGGAAAGAATGAATGCTACCAGTGGCTCAGAGCTAGTAGTGAGCTGCTTACCACTCCTTTAATGATCAGATAACCCAGTTACTAAACTTCCTTGAAGAAAAATAGTTAAAAAATCACATCTTACCATAAAAACAAACAACTACAATGATACACTAGAAGGTGTCTCATTCCTAGGATCACTGTGTTAAATGCAGACTCCACACTGGGTACAAAAGGTTAAAGGCAAAATTATGCAGTGGGAAAAGCAAGGGATTAGGACTGATAATACCTGGGTTCTGCCCAATGACAAAAATAGAACAGTAGCCATTTTGCCTCTTCAGAGCTGTTAAAATTACATTTAAAATGTTGAAATCTTTCAAAAGGATGACATAGAACATATGCCTGAAGTGCAAATATGGTATTTGAAAGGAGAATTTCAATGTTTTCTAGAAAAAGGACATGTGAAAATTTCCTCATATAGTGATTAATTTAACTAAAGCTTAACTTTGAAAACATTTATTTATTTTTCAATTACAGTTGACATTCAATATTATTTTTATTAGTTTCAGGTGTACAGCATAGTGGTTACACATTGATATAATAATAAAAAGTGATCCTTTTCCCCCGATTAGTCTAGTACTCACTTGGCACTATATAGTTTCTACAATATTAGTGATTATATTCCCTATGCTGTACTTTACATCCCCATGTCTATTTTGTAACTACCAATTTGTATTTCTTAATCCCTTCCCCTTTTTCACCCTGAAAACATTTCTGAAAACCACATACAACTGACCCTTGCATAACATGGGTTTGAACTGTGCAGGTCTACTTATACATGGACTTTTTTCAATGAATACTGTAAATGCATTTACTCTTCCTTATGATTTTCATCACATTTTTGTTTCTCTAGCTTACTTTATTGTAAGAATACAGAATTCATATAACATACAGACTGTGTTAACTGACTGTGTATGTTATCAGTAAGGTGTCTGGTCAACAGTAGGCTTTTAGTAGTTATTGGTAGTTAAGTTTTTAGGGAGTCAAATTTTTGACTGAGGGGGTGGTTTCAGTGCCTCTAACCCTGGAGTTGTTCAAGAGTCAACTATAAAACCTTTAACATTTCTGATTATGTAAATGACATAACAATAACATGATTGTTGTTGACAAAAAATCTGGGAAAAAACAGAAATGTATTCCTAGGAAAAAAGAGTATAAAGAACGATATTAAAATCACTCATGATACCACGACTAAATGTAAAGACTATTTAACATTTTGGCATATTTCCTTTTACTTTTCTTATATTTATAACCATTCCCTTATCACTGGACACTAGCTGTTTCCAGTTTTTCACTATTATACTCAATACTGAGGTGATATCCTTACACACATATTACATCAATACCTTTTTAAGAGCTGTGTATACATCCATCTCCACTTGCATCACAAATAAGTTAGATGAACCAATGAGCTGTTTCATAACATTTATACTAGAAAAAAATAAAACAGAGGTAGTGAGTTTATCTTCATGCACTATCTAAAACAGTCTGGTAGAACTGAAAACTTTGTTTTATCCAAAGAAACGTTGAATTAAAAATTACATCAGTCTTTTTGCCCAAGACAAAGAATCTTAGACAGAAAACAATCTATTTGAACACAAGGGTCATTCAGATAGTGTGTTATGAAAGGTCTTTTTTTGTACTGATAGGAAAACAAAGAACTTTGATCTGCTAGTTAATCAAGTTAAAGCAAGGTCCCAAAATAAGATAACTTTTAGTATTCTCTGATAATACTTCCTTTTTTCATCCTCCCCATTCAATGTTAAAAAAAAAAAAAAAAGACACTTGTCAAAATTCACTGAAATAGCTATATCTTCACAGTAACCTTTAAACTCTTGGCTTAAGAGAATTGCTTAGTCATAAAACATGTTTTTATTATTATTAAAGAGAGTAAGATCAAGAAACATGTGTTAGGTTAAAGTTGGAGTAAAAATGATATCAACAGTTGTTTTCCTTCCCCCTCCCCTCCCTTTTTCTTTTTTTCCTTTAAGTCAGAAAAAGCCAGAAGAGCATCTGGGTTTTAAAGATGACCAGTAAGATCTATCTTCCTTTTGAAAAGCACAATGAGTAATTATAAAACAAAAAAAGTAGTGTTTCTAATGATTTTCAAACCAAATATACTGCAGAGCTTTGTTTATGCTATGACATCACTAACGTAATGACTTTTTATAGAATAATGCCTCTCAAATTTCCTACCAAAGCACCTCTTAAGGGCAGAGAAAAGGAAAGAACCCAGGAATTCAGGAGGTGGTCTAGCCATAAAAATAACATTTATATTAATTCTTGTATTTTATCTTGAAAGTTCAAAAATATTTGAAATTTCTCTATTCCATAACGTATTTAAACATAAACGTGTTTAACTCTCTCTCAGTTCCCCACGCCGCCCCACCTCCCCACCCCCCAATCAGTAAAACTGACATCCCAGGAAGCTATGCAACATAAACTCTTTGGATTTGTACATTTCCATTGGGATGTCACATACTACTAGGGACATCTGTACCCTTGTCTCAGAAGAACCACTGTCAAGGAAATGCAAGTCTGAAAATGACTGTAAAGCCTAAAAGATGATTGATTCCCACCCTGAATTCCTCAGATTCCCCCATTACTACACATAAGCTCCTTGAGGGCAGAGACCGTAACATCATCATCTCTGAGTCCTTTATAGCCCCCATGAGAGTGCCTGTCTACATAGTGGACATTCTGAGGATTTGTGGAAGGAAGGGAGAGGAATGAACAGTAAGTTGACTTATTCAAAAGGCCAACCTAATTGTGAATTTAATTTCATTAGGCTTATCAAAAAGTTTCCAACAATTTCCTCAAACTTCTCAATGATGGTTTAAAGATGGTTTTTAAAATAAACTTTTAGATTCTCTAAGAGCCCAGCAAAAGTGAGGTAACACTTGAGACTTTTCTGTAATTTTATAGCAGCAATGAATTTTTCTATTAAAATTGGTTAAAACAGTCAACATAATATATGTTGTATCATTAACAGTGAAGAAATTTGTGTAGCATTTCTTCAGTTCATGGATGTAGTAAAAATATCTTTCATTAAATTATTCACTTTTTCATAAGCAATATATTTTTATTTTATACAAAAATATCTTGCATACTCTGATAAATGAAAAATAGTATTTTAGAATGATTAATTATAAAGTTATTTAAAATTCAAATACCTGAGTTCCTTAAAAAGTTCAACATTCTGGTGAGTCATCAAATTGTTTAGAAGCCATTCAAGGCACCTGAAATTAAAACATGGAATTGCATTATGTATCATCTATTTATGATTTATTAAGACTTACAGTTAAAATAAAAACAGAATATTAGTCTTGCTAGGACATGCTCAATTTTTTAAATTTAACAATTGAAAATTTAGTATTACTTTTGTCAGCAGTTATTATGGGAATATTCCCTTTATATTAATAAGGGCATTTCTAATCGTGAAAACCTCATTTCAAGTTTGTGTTAAATGGTTTATGAAGGGATTTACAGACTTCCATGACCGTCTTTATTATTTGAAAATCGGTACTGCAATTCTCAAGAGTTAAAAACATTGTCAATAGTTGCACTAATATGATGTCATTATGCTTACTACTTGGAAGAATCTGACAGAAAAATCTACTGGAAAGAGTGACCATATTTTTTTTTTTTTTTTTTTTTTTGACCATAGTTTGTTTAAGCATGTATATAACCCACCCATGGTCACTTACAAAGACTACACTTGTGAGGAATTTACTAATTAGTCCAAATGTAAAACAGGACTTTTTATAATAAAATTCCATTCACCTATCTTTTTTCCTTTCTTTCTTATAGCTATATATTTTCTCAAGAAACCAAAGCAGCCAAATTCCCAAAAGTGGGATGGGGGAAAAAACAAAAAGGGTAACTCACTTTTTCTTTACAGAATCTAATCCATAGGTCCCTGCTGATGTGTAATAGCCACATACAGTTTTCACATTAATTGTTTCCTTCATTGTTTCACCACATTGCTGTATTAAACCATCCTGTAAATATAAATAAGCACTGGAAAGGCCCATTTCATGTGGGAAAAAATTAGGTCTGAATATGTGCTTTTATATATTAAAAAGTAAAAAAAAAAAAACAAAGAAGAAGAAAGAAAGAAAAGAAAGAAAACGTATTAAGTGCAGCAAGCCTAAGTTTTTTGTAAGTCCAGTAAAGGTACTGGAAAAAATTGAGCAAGTATTCAACTAAATACTTGGAAATGAAAATGGAAGGAAGGGGATAAAAGCAGTAAGGAAGAGATGAATATTGCTATTCTCTTTCTTTTCTATTCTTTCCTTACCTGGGACCTTTGCAAATTTAAGCATTATTCTGTCTGTTTTGCTAGTTCCTTTAAAATCAAGACCTCTTTACATAGTCAGTTAGTTGACCATGTGATTGATGGGCTAGGCAAGTAAACTATTAAACATCAGAAAGTGTTTATTCAAGTTTAAAACACCTATCAACAGCTAAGAGACGCACCTAAATCAAATATATTATTGTTTCAAACTTACATTGAAATTTTTATCTAAAAGGTTTATATAGATTTCAAATGAACTGTATTCTATATATAGAAAGAATACTGTCACTTTTTACTCAAATTTCTGAAATATGTTCATGCAAGTATATTATTAAGTTAAATGGGTAAGTCACAAAGATAATGCAGAAAGTGAATTTAGAACAAAACCAAAAAAGGACTAAAGTTAGAAAATAAAGTATACTTAGTGGAAATAAGTATGGAAAGGATCAAAATGTTTTAAAAATCAAATAACTTCAAGCATATTTAGCAAGATATTCACTAGTACTTCAAATAAATCAGTATACAAATGCCACATGAAAAGAAACTTAAGTTTTTTTAAAGATCAAAAGAAAACGTTGACTCCATTAGGATTGTAAACTTACCTGGAAGTCATTCTAGACTCCTTCCCTTTCCTGTTAACATCTCATCTGTCACCAGGTAAAGCTGGATTATCTCTGCTAAACCTCTTTGGTATTCAAGAGTTTCCTCTCCATTCTTAGTGTCAATAGCTTATTTAGCTGACCTTCCTGTAGAACCTCACTTGGATTGTTGCAATAGGTTCTATACTCATTTTTCCTTCAATCCATCCTTCACATTGCTCCTGAAGCATTCTTTCTGAAATATGTCTTTCCCCTGATTACAATCTTTCAAAAGTAGTTATATATAAAGTCTAAACTTCTTAAAAGGCACAGAGGCGACTTTCATGATTTGGCCTCTGCCTCCCTCTCTCTAAACCTTCTTGTATTCTATGCTGGAGTCATGTTCCACTCACACTCTAATCCTCCACAGTTTCACAACTCCAGGTCTTAGTTTATTGTTGAAAATGCTCTTTCTTTCCCTTTCTTCTTACTTTGCAAAAGAAATATTTTCAGTTTTCAAGACCCGACCTCAAACACAACTCCCTTCTTTGACACCACCAGGTTGAACTGACTGCTTTGTGCATCCACTAAATCCTACAGGATGTTTATTATTGTACCCAGAATATTGGACAGCTCTTCCTTTACCTTTGGGTCTGCATATCAACCCTCCTTCCCCAACTTCACACTCATTATATTGTGAACTTCTTGAAGGTGGGGACTATATCTGAATTTACCTTTGGATCTTTATACCTAGTTTGGCATATTGCTCAATACAATTCTGTTGAATGAACAAATCTGTCATTCTATCAATAGAGTACATACATTTATGTAGTTTACACACAATTATTTCATAATTAAGAAAAAGATTACATAGTAAGCACTCAATGTTTTTCGAACTCATGAGCTAAATAAATTAGTAATTATAAGCTATCTGTTTCATAACAGTGAAGATATGTCATTAATGAACAGAAATCTATAAATGGACTTAGACAAGTGAATTCTTTCCACATTATAGTCATTCTTAGATATCTACACAGAAATAGCTTGCGTTCATCTTTACACAGACATCATGACCCTTTCAGTCATAATAAATTGCTTTTGGTTAAGCATTTTAGTGACATCACAAATAGCATTACACATTTCATTTTTATTGTAAAAATTGTAAAAATTTTTGTTTTTGGAATAGATACTTGAAACAAAGACACAACTGTGATCTTTTCTTTGAATAATGTGCATACTTACCAACTGTAGCATACACGCTGCTGCCAAAATGGCAATAACTCGACTAGGCTTTATTAAGACATCATCTCGATACAGTGACCCAAATGCAACCTGCAATGCTGAAACCAAATGTACACATGTAGAATGAAATAACAATATATCTATAAGAGTACTATAAAAATAACAACAATGACTGTCTTCACACACTAGGACATATGTCTAAATCTAATATGTACTTAAAAGGAGAAGAGAAGTATCAGTAATTCAAATGCTAGTAATGGTTACTGACTGATGATGTTAATTTAATAGTACTGTTATAAATTTCCATTTATTTTACCAAACCGAGTTGGATTCTTCTACATCTAATCTTGACTTTAGTTAGTTGTTGGAATTCAGACACCCTTGGAAGAAGTTTATAAAGATACCCTGAGTAGACCAATCATTAAGTACAAGTACACAGACACAATGATAACCTTAATCCTGGTGCTTCAGTGTTTCATCCCCGCGAAGTGTGGAATAGCTCATGGTCCTGTCCATGCCACACTCTCACCACTGCTATCTAAGCCTGTTCATCCTTCTCCTCCATTGCACCTCTCATCTATGTCCCACGTGATTTGCTTTATTAATATTCTTAACTTTTCTCTTTGCCTATGTGGTGAGTACTGGGTACTTTTACTTGGGCTATCAAAGAGGGAGCAAAAGGAGCACTGGCATATCAATTAGGAGAACTACAGTCTGATCTAGGTTCACTAAACTGCTTTGAGACCTAAAATGAGCCCCTTAAATCCTTTAGGCCTCAGCTTCCTCATCTAAGAACACTTACAGCTCTAAATCAATACTGATTATAAGATTTGCACCCTGTTGCTCCCAAAAAAGATCTTCATATATAGGGCGTAATCAATGATTATTATTTACCAGCTTTTTTATGTAATTAAAATAAATGGTCATACTTTTCCTTCCTTCACCCTACATCCTCCATATCCCAGGTAGATATATTTATAAACATAACAGATTAATTTGGCCCACATGACTAAAAAGATTAGGGATAGGTAGAATAGAACTGATAAACTATGGAGTAAATCGATATAATGTTGTTGCCTTGGAGAATTAAATGGAGCTTTTTTCTAGCTTACAAAGTTAAAATATTTACTTTCTACCAAAAGAATAAAAAGATTATGTTTTTATGATTTTGCATAGTAGTAATAATTATGGTGATAGTTACCTTCTACATCAATATTCTGGTCAGGAATCTCCAGTTCAATAATATCCATGCTGGATTCTTTCCAAGAACCACTGAACATACTAGAAAAGTAGCCAGACTTAAAAAAAACAGAAAAAAAAATCAATTTCCTGTGTCTTCCAAATTATTTCCCCATTTCTAATTTTAAGCCAACGATATTATGGTAACTAATCTGGAGAAAAAGAATTGCCAAATATGTCTATAGGAGAAAAGAAATTTAGATAAGGTCACTTTTAGGTATATCAAAATATTTTCAGTTTAGTACTAATTTAATGAAAACTAAACCAAATTCTCATATCACTATCTGAACTGCATTTCTGTATTACTATTTGAATCTCATTAGCTTTTTACTTAGTTAAAACAATTTTTGAGTATATTACACGTATATTTTTCCTTCTCAATGATACCATAAATTCAAACTTAGAAATTATGTTATATATTTCAGTATCTCTCATAAATATATGACTATACGCAAGGTTGAATACATAAAAATATACTGAGGAAGAGAATAGACTAAAGGCCCTCAAACTGTTAAATCCTTTCTGCACCTCAGTGGCTGTAAAGGGTCTGGTCCAGTCCCAAGTCGACACTAATAGAATGATCACCAAGAAATTAGGGAAAATCCAAAGTTTAGTTTTATCTGATCAGAAAATTCCAGAATGGACCTGAATTCTTGGAAAGGTACCAGAATGGATGACGTCTTTAGTTAATTTTCTACATAGCACCTCTCATAATCAGAATTATTTTGGAATGGATCAAGTACTAACTAATTTATATTAAAAATTTTACTGAGTACTTAGTATATATACGGCACTGTGAATATACCATAAATAAAACACATTGCTTTTGTCCTCAGGGGCTTGTATACTAGCATGTGGCTTGCACTATAAACAATCTAGTTTCTTGAGAAGGACAGCCTTAACAGAGGCATTCTCTTCCTTAAATTCACAAAACTGCTTTGAGATTAAAAAAGCAAGATACAATGCACCATATCCTCAAGTTGAGACCAATATTCTGATACAGTCTCCAGGCTATTGATATACATTAAGGCAAAGTAAAACTGTTCAAAAAATTAATAGAAAAACCATTATGATTGAAATGTTAGAAAAAAAATTTCTTTCAAACGTTTCTACTGAAAAATCTTAAACTATACTGTTTTACTGGTAATTATTGTCAAATGATGAAAAAGAGAGGGAAAATATAAGCTCCACAGGATAAGAACTGAATTGTTCACTGTTACAGTCCCAATGCCTAGAACAATGATTTGAAGAAAGAATGGACAGATTTGATGAAGTAATAAGTGAATAAAATATTTGAGCCATTAGAGCAACATTTTCTTTTATTTTGAAAGTTCTGAATCTTTACCTTGTTTTTTTTTTTTTGTTTGTTTGTTTGTTTTTGTTTTTTAGCTGAGCCATCCTGCTACCTGTTGGCAGCTCAGCGGCTGCTCAGCTTGGGCTGGACTCGAACCGCTGTTGCTCAGAGCTCAAACTCTTGAGCGAGCTCTTAACCAACTGAGCCCCTCGGCCAGCCCTGAAAGTTCTGAATCTTTAAAATGGGGTGGCAGATGGTTAATATTTTCATAACAGAAATCAAAAAGGTGTATCAGCTAAATGACTTAGTCATTATATTTTTTTGGTGTTGTCTTTAATTTAACTGCATTTTCCAGGAGACAAGGAAGACTGTCAAGAACTTTCATTCACGTTTAACCTTAACTACATAGCAACATTTCAGCTGAATTTACCCAATTTAAAAAAATCATACAAAATAAACAAATTCAGCAATCTTAACTTTAATGTTAAACATTTTTCTCTGTAACTTTCTCCCTTTTGTCAACAGGAGGCACCAGAATAAGCACCTTAATGAAATAATGACAAAAAAGGTATTAGTATGACAATGAAAATTAAAAATCTGTTTTCTAAATCAAACTAAGTTTTCAATAACAATGTTAGCCATATTTCTAATAAAACAAGACTTTTTATCAAATGATAGGACTTAACCACTGTCCATGCAAAAGATTACTGTGAAATACAATAACATGACTTAAGAGTCTGAGTTTTTTTTTGTTTTTTTTAATGAGTTTTTTTTACTCAATGACACAGACAAACTGTATGGTGGTTACCAAAGGGGAAGGGGGGTAGGAGGAGGTAGAAGAGGGGAAAGGGAGTCAATTATATGGTGATGGAAGGAGACAAAACTTTGGGCGATGAGCATACAATGCAATATTCAAATGATGTATTATAATACTGGACATTTGAAACTCATGTAATCTTATTAACAATGTCTCCATTAAATTTAATTTTAAAAAACTTGAGTTTTTTTGTTTTGTTTTTAATGATTTTATTCCTGTTTTGAAAGTAAGAAATGAGAAACATGGTGATCAGCAGCTCAGGCTCTACAGACAAATAGACTTGGGATTGAATCTGGCACTGCCATCATGAGCTGTGAGACTTGGTAAATTAATTAACCCTGCTATACTTGTATCTCATTTTTTCTCAGGTGTAAATTTCTATAATCTTTCAATGGCATCAGAATAGTATCAGAATGATAATTTTCTGCTTTCTTGAATACAGGACAGGTAGGATTCCTAGGTATGAAACGTATAATTATGCCTGTTATCGGGTTAAGAAAAAGGGAAGCTGTGCTGCACAGAACTGAGAATGTGGAAGCTAAGGCAGTTTATACTTAGGTTAAGATGGACAGGGATTGGACAGGTGTTGGAGAGTGAAATGGGGAAGGGGAGTGAGGAGTTGACTAAGGTTTATAACTGGACAGCTGAAGGAGAATCTAGAATAAGCCAGTCCCAAGGCTCATACAGGAAAAAAAAAGTGGGATGTGTGATTTGACACAAGACTCTCAGTCTAGCAGGGTTCTGGTTGCTGGTGGTTTTCAAAGCTACAGGGGTGGAAACAGAGGGAAAGATAAAACATTTGTATGATCAATTCAGCAAATATTATGACTCATGTTCCATATGTGGTTTTAAGCTCAAAAATAAGGGTGTATCTTGTTGGGGTAGGGATGGCATTGGGATACAGTCCTTTAAAAGAAGCCAGCTCTAGGCGGAAGTCTAGACAAGCAGGAAATGTCAAATAGAAGCAGAGGTTTAGACAATGTATGGCCAAGTTCAAGGAGGCCAGCAGAGACAAAAGGCAGAAAATATACCCAAGTCCAAGCAACCAGAGTCAACTACCAGGAGTTCAGCAGAACAGATGAAGCAAGTGAGTGAATTTCTCGAGTTTGAGTTTTTTAAATGACTACCTTGGTTACTCAAATAGAAAAATTAAATACTTACTTGACATAAATATATTTTGTGTAAGCTCCATTCTTCTCCTAGAGCACAAATCTTAATGTCACTATTTTCACCATTCAAAAATAATGTTTGATAAATATATTTGGATGTACTCTTCAATTTTTTCCTGTTAAAAGAAATGCAACTGTTATGTATGGGTAAAACTGAATGTTTTACTCATTTTGCATATAACTCAAAAAACTCCTTTTGTTCAACTCTATTAAATAGACCCAACTTGTGTAAAACAACAGAGGGATATTATATATTTAAATCTGCTCATGTATGGAAGAGTACATAAGAAACTAATAATAGCATGGGGAATCTTTGGGGTACTCTATTCCCAAGAAAGGTAATAGTGGATAGATGGGGGTAGCATGGGAAGGAGACCTTTCACTGTACATCTTTTTGCAATTTCTGATTTTTGAACTAAGTGAATTCCCATTCAATAAATTAGGATAAGTCAGAGTAATTTTCACTTATTTAGAAATCAGCACTACAGAGGATCTCAATACAATTGCAATAATACCTCTATGCAACTACAAAATGGAGAACATGAGTAAAAATTTCACCTATCCATTTAAAAATAATTTACATTTAATATTATTTCGGTACCAAAGTATTCTAAAAACACCCCTCCTCCCCTGCCCCCATTGGACAACTGATTTGCAGCCCAAAACTATGCTCAATGGAAAAGTGTCTTAGTGGCCACCAGGGACAGCCAAGGAGTGAATGCTGGGCATCCCAACCTAAGTTCAGCCAGAACAGCATCATATATTTTACCTGTAAACATCTTGGATTTCTGTGTAAGCTTTCATTTAAACAGAATTTTTTTTTTTAAGTTTGATAATCATTGCTTAAGATGGTCCAGTAAATAAGAAAAGCCCTAGGTAGAGGCTAATTTCTGGCCAATCTTGACAGCTGTTCTAATAGTTAAAAATTTTTAATCTTTTAAAAAATGAAGTAATTGTTTCAGATGGTGTCTTGAACCAGTGTATTTAACATCTCTTCCCAATACACAGTAAAAGTAGCACATGCTTTGGTGGTGGAGAGGCTTGGGTTTGAGTCCCAGCTTCACCCACAGCTCAGTTACCCCAGATGTAAAGATGTCAGTAGCATCCATTTCATCGGGTTACCACGAGAAATAAATGAAACAATGTAGTTTCTGGTTCCTGACAGCACTCTCCCCAACTTACATGAAAAGATTAAAAGTACAGAAAGGAATAAGCCCATAACAGCAAAAAGGTGAGGGTAGGCTTATCACCTGATGAGAGAATTCTATGGATCTGGAAGTTAGAAAACAAACTGGAATGGAAGGAACATTGAAACCCACTGTCCAAAATATATCATGAAGGTCTAGGATGAAGGCTCTAGCCCATCTGCCCTTCAGAACGCATGCACGTGTACGTGTGCGTGTGCGTGTGCGTGTGTGTGTGTGTTGGGAGGATGATGTCTCAGGGGAACCAAAAGGCAAAAGTTGGAAGTGGGGCAGAAAATGGGGAAGCTTGTTCCTTTAATGGCTTTCTCCTCTCTCTCTGAACACAGAGTACAAATAACTTGGGCATAAAGATTCCAAGGCTTTTCTAGAAAGAAATATAACAAATCTATCAACAAGATCTAAGACTTTATAGCATTGGTGCTGGTGCTGACAAAGCAATCCTCATTCTAGCATATGAGAAATCTGTAGCTTGGAAGCTCCCAGCCTATTCACCCTAAATCATGGTCCCCAAACTATGTCAAAGCACCTGGAGCACCAAAGCAAACTCAGGTAAGCATGTGGAATATTTTAAATTTGAAGGAAACACAGCAACAGCTTTCAAATACCATGCAATCTACTACTATTGAGCTGTTTGGACCTATCTATGAGGTATTTCTTTAGGACCAGAAGGTGCCATGAAAAAATTACTGCGACACACTAAGGGTATTGTAAACAAAAAAAGTTTGGGAATCTGTGCTCTAAAACAAAGCATGCCCCACCCATATCTAATTTGGTAGTCAGTCTTCCTACTCAAAGGAGAGGTTTACTAGAAATAAATCTATTTACTCAAGTAAAACAAAACACCCCCCCACACACACACACACAAACACACACCTCAGTTGATCATTCTTAAATGTAAGCAGACAACCAAGATTCACCAAACCTGAGGAAATCAGGAATATGAAAGATGATTAAGAGAAATTGGCCCCAGAGGAAACATAATTCAGGGAAAAGAGAAGTTAAAAACAAACAAAAACACTCTTAATTAAAATATCTAGAGATCTGGGAATATTACATTTATAAAATACCAGGATGCTAATAAAGGATTACTCAGAACAAGAAAAAGAAGAGCTCTTAGATACTAAAAACATGGTTACTGAAATTAAAAAGCCAAAAGTGAGGCTGAATGACAAAGTTAAAGAAATTTCTCAAACATAAAGCAAAAAATACCCAGAAAGGAGAAAAGAAGAGAAAGTACAATCCAAGAAATCCAAAATCAAGTTAAGAGGGTTCCAAGAAAGAGAAAACAAAGATAATGGGATAAAGGAAATTATGGAAGAAATTAACGGAATCAAGTTTTTTCCAACCAAAGTAGTCTCTAGGTTGTAAGTATACATTAAGTACCAAGACCATTAAAAGACCCACACTTAGTACATTATAGTTAAACCCCAAAATATCGAGGAAAAATTACTAAAGTTCCATAGAGAAAAAAAATAGGGTCACCTAAAAGAAAAGAGAATTAGACTAGCATCGTATTTCTTACCAACACTGTGGGCTGGAAGACAATGAAGTAATATTAAAAATATGAAAAGTTATTTTAAATTAGATTTCCATAACCAATCAAAGAATGAATAAAGTGAGACTAAATTTAATTTAGATAAGCACAAATTACCTCCTTTTGCACCCTTTCTTATGAAAATACTTGAGCATGTAGTTCTCTAAAATGAGTGAGAAAGAAAAAGATATAGTCTACAGAAAACAATGAGTCCCAGGATAAGTTCAGACCTAAAGAGCAATGGTTCCAGATAGGAAAAGGAGGACGGAGGGACCCAGGAGGGAAGCCTTGGGTTTAGAAGAGGAGTCCATACAGGTGTGTTTGGAAAAATAAAAAACCCCTGAAGATATGATAAAGGAATATTATTCTTTTGTCAACAAAGAGGGTGGGGGACAGGCAGTCAGAAACTCTAGGAAAATAAAAAGGCAATAAAAATTATCTCAATAAGATAACAGGACCTGAAAACAGGGCCTGACTTATGCACTTGATGGAATGTTAGAAAATTTCTCCAAGAGAAAAACAGAGAGTTGTGACATTGGGCCTATTAAGTATGATTTATAGTCCTAGCACACTACTTGACTCTGCAGTGAATAATTTTTATAGTTATTATAACAGATACTGTTTGCTAGATTTCACTTTTTAGAGACAATCTAGGGGCAAAACACTCAAGATCTGGTTGCAGAACAGTGGAGTTTTAACGGTCTTGTTAACATATAATAAAACATGCGGTTGACAAAAGGTATGAGGTGGAAGGTAGACCTGGAAGCCAAAGCTTTTCATAGTGGGCTAGCTGAAGTGGGCTAGCACACCAGCCAACCTCGGGAAGCGTTTAGTGCCAAAATTCTAGGTCTTAATATTTTCTTGCACTTTTCATCCATGCTGGGCTAAATAAGCCAAGCATCTTTGATGATATAATATACTAAATTCGGATATGCATTTTCTAATAAAGGCTTGCTTTAAAGACTTTGCATTCCAGTCCACTCATGTAGACCAGGGGTTGGCAAACTTTTTCTGTAAAGGTCTAGACTGTAAATATTTTCAGCTTTGTAAGCCAGACAGACTCCAAGCAAGTTTTGTCAACATCCTAGTTAGCAGTTTTCTGCTTGCCAGCCTCAGCCTACCACATCTAAGCAAATTTCTCCTCCATCTCATGGGCTACAGCCACATCTCATCCAACATCTGAATCTCAGCTTGGGAAAAGCGGCCCTATTCTAAATATGTTCCTTCCTTGGGTATTCTGTCTCAGCCCTAATAGTGACCACTCCCTATATTTTCTATTCCTGTATTTTTTACAGATCTCTTTACCTTAGTGGTTTACCTTCAGTAGTTATTTTTGGTTACTTGCTAATAATGGTTATATTAAATTTTCCCTGTTCAAATTACAGTGTGATTTCTCTCTTTTAAATAGACCCTAACACATATATTTCAAGAACGACATATTAAATATAAGTGGCCTAAATACTAATTAAAATGCAGAGATTATCCTATTGGATGTAAAAAACACACACACAAAAAAAGACCCAATTTATGCTGTCTACAAGATACGCACTTTAAATATAAAGACACAGTTAAAAAGGGAAAGGATGGGAAAAGATACACCTTTTAAACACTTACCAAAAGAAAATGGTAGCTATATCACCAGGAATAAAGAGAGGCATTTTGTAATGATAAGGGGAGCCAATTCATCAAGGAGACATATTTATATTTACTGAGTACTTCTACAGTAGGCACTGTGCAGTGTATGCATTCTACTATTAATCAAACTCTACAAGACAAGTATTAGTATCTCCATTTTACTTATGAGGAAATAAGGTTATTATGTGCAGAATACAGACTAGAACTCAGAATCTGAGCTGTTAAAACTACACTACATTGACTCTTCAAAAAGGTAACCAGACAATTTGACAGTGTAGGTCCATTTTTGTAAATAAATAGAGGCCTTCTTATATAAAATCCTATGAAAGATTTTATAAATCAAACTATTAACATAAGTTATCTACAATGCTTTTATTTTACAATATAAACGCTTGTGTAGCAAAAAATTTTGAATTTAAAAACAATTTCATTTAAAAAATTACATCTGTGACCCCACTGATGACCCTGAAAAACAAACAGTAACCAGATTATGTGAAAACACATTCTACTTAAAAACTACATTCTAGTTCACAAGTAAATATCCTGTTTTTCAAATCTTGGAAAAAAAGTTAAGCAAGCTGCAGCACAGCCTTACACGTATCCATGGTCACCGTTCAAGTACTAGAGACTCTGAAAGGCTGTTTCTGGTAAAGGACATACATGTACACTATTGATAAACTTCACCTTTACAGTTAAGGAGGACTGTGTGCAATCATGTCCCCGTCCACTGAGTGGACGACCACAGGAGTGCCCATCTCGAGACCAAATTTACGTGTCTGTATTATTTAAGGCAACAGGATGCAAAACAACTCGCTCTGCTGTCACCCACTCAGACAGGACAAAGGTGTATTACGGAAGGCCAACCAGTCGGTCGTGTCTAAGGCTTAATGAGGCGCAAGCTTCGGCTTGGCGTTTCTCAGTCTCATTTTGGGTGTTTAACACCACCCAGGCAGCGTCTGTGGTTTCTCATCCAAAGCACGGCGTCTCCCAAGGCGTTCCCCACCCGTCCCGCATCAGGCCGGCTCCCACGTTTACCCTGTCAAGGACACGTCCGCTCCTCACAGGCTGAGACCGCGCCGCAGCCCCCAGCGACTCCTCCCCTGGCCGGGCCGCAGAAACCGCCCAACAGGTGCGGGCGCATCCCGCCACTTACCTACGAGGGGTGTTGAGGAGCCGCTGCTGCTCGTCCCCTTCCTCTTCATCCTCGTCTGTCTCGGAGTCGGGGTGACAGTAGCAGAGGGCCCCGCTGCTCCGCTTGCGTTTGCGGCTGCCCGGGCAGTAATAGAAGCCGTGATCGGCTGCTTCGCCGCCAGTCTCCAGCCTCCGGGCCGAGCCCCCCGCCCCAGAACCCGACTCCTGCTGGGCTCGGGCTCGCCCCTGGTGGCGCAGCACTCGGCTGCTCAGCGAGCCCATAGGCCACTACTCCCTGGGATTTCAGGGAGCGCACCTTAGGGAGTCCAGCGGACCCGGTCTCCCGCCATGGCTCGGCTGCCGCCTCCGGTCTCCACCCAGCCCAGGTGCCTACACCGCCACCTTCTCACGCGCAGCCCCAACCGTCGCAGCGGACGCTACCGCTTCCATCCTCCGCCCCGCCCGCCGCGTCTATCCGCGCGGCGCGTCGAAACCGCAGGACCTTGCCCCCCCTTTCTGCTTTCGCAACAAAGCTCGGACCGGAGCGCGCATGCGCGCGACGAGCCTCCGGAAGGGGCGGGGAAAGGTGGGTGTGCGTGGCGGGTGGAGCCTGCGCAGATCGGGACGAGGTGGGGGGTCTGTCGTGTGGAGTCCGGCCGGCGGATTCTCTGTGCGGTCTGCCTGGAACTCGTTTTAGCCTAAATTCGGGGGCCCCACTTAACTGTTAACGTTACTTTATACACCCCATTGTGTTAACTAGACTGGGAATTGCAGCTCATTCATTCTTTTTGCAAAGGTTCTCTGAGTTCCAGGTGTCCACCGTGCCCTGGGGTGGGTTAGGGGCCGAAAGAAAGAGTGCTATTTGAGCTCTTCCTTGGAAGAGTCACGACGTGCTGGGGTCGCGCTCTGCAGGGATGGGGCATGGCTTTCCGAGGGAAGAAGACCTAGAATGTGGAGCTTTGCTAGGTCTCTAGGTTTCTTAAACATCAACTTTACGCTTTCCTAGACGGATTATGGCAAACGTTCCCTTTATTCCTTTCCACCCAGCGGTAGTGAGACGTCTGAATAACGTCTGTACCGGGACTGTCAGGGCTTAAAATGCTTCTGGAGGCCCGAACAAAATTTACAAGTATCTGAGCAAATACTGCAGATTTCTGTCTAGAGTATGCGGCCCTTGCTATGGACTCAGGACAGCCAGCTTTCACTCCCTGAGCCCCTCCTGCTACTTTTTAAATAAAATATTTATAATGAAATTATTTCTAATGCAACATTTTAAGTGAAATACTTATAATGAATTACTCAGTAATATGATATGGACCCACCACAACTATGATAACAATTTTTAATAAAAATTTTATTATACTTGCTTTGATTCATTCTTTTAAATAGAAATAGATAGAAACTCCATCTCCATCTCAATCTGTCTCTCTCCCTCCCCTATAGTGACCACTATCCTGAGAATGGTGTATATCATTATTCCCATGCTTGTTCTTATACGTATACCTGTTAGCCATATATTTTCTTTTGCATGCTTCGACATATAATAAATGGAATTATACCTATCATTCTGCCTCTCTCAAAATTATACTTTCAAGACTTATCCAATAGACAAATCTCTCAATTTTCACTGCTCATTGTGTGACTAACCCATGATTTGTTTATCTTCCCCTTACTGAGGGAGGTAGGTTGTTTCTACTTTAATGCTCTTATAGAGCAGCAATGAACACCATGTGCAAGAGATTCATCAAGCAGATTCCCAGAAGAAATTTGCTGGGAACTTCCAACTTTTTAACAAATTTTTTATTGGGTAACTGTTTTTTTCCAGGACCCATCAACTCCAAGTCAAGCCATTATCCTTCAATCTAGTTGTGGAGGGCGCAGTCCAGTTGCCCCATTTTCAATCTCGTTTGCGGGGGGGGGGGGGGGGGCGGGCGGCGCAGCCCACTATCCTATGTGGGAATTGAACCGGCAACCTTGTTGTTAAGAGCATGCGCTCTAACCAACTGAGCCACCTGATCAACTTTCAACTTTAACTGTTAATTTGCTCTCTGAAATGATTATACTCCATCAGCAGTATAGGTAGTTTGGGTACCCCAGTGGACTGGTGTCTGACACCCTGAGAAATCTGAACCAAGAGGCTAGCTGAGGCAGTTTAGGGGAAGGGTAGGAGAAGAGCAGAGAATGACTGCTGCAAGAGGATCAACCTGCATGCCCAGAATTTGTCAGCACACAGGATGTGCAAGTGTTTACCATGAAACAAGAGTGGGCACCATAAGAAATGCAGCACAGGATCATCTTAGAGCCTGTGCAAGAGGCCCAGGGGGAAAGACAGACCAGCACAGAGAACCTGAAGGTATTGCCTAATTAATTCCTAGGGCCTGAAAAAGAGAACTGCATTTGCCTTGCCAGAGGAACCGAAGAAGAGTTCTTTCTTGGATTGATAAACGAAACCAGGAGAATGCTCACAAGAATCAGTTTTAAACATCTGCCAACGTCACACAGCGCTGATCATCTACAACCACAGCACTGACTGTCAGGAAGAACTTTCCAGCTCCTCTTTACTGTCCTCCCTCCTCCTAGTACAACCCTGGCAAGGTTGGGGGTGGGGGGTAGGGTAGGGTATGGAAGAAAGCCTAGGTGGAGAAAGAGAAGCCCACCATATCCTCTTCCCCAAAAGCCAGCTTCCTGTTGGCAGTAGGCCAACTATAAATCAAGTTTGGAATTTTGACTGGACATATTAATTACCGAAATGGCACTGTTTTATGACCTTAAGAGACTGCACAGTAGGGCTTATTATAATCTAAGAGTAACCAGAAAAGTCATGACTCGATCCTCTATCTGAATTTTCACCTAAAGACAGGAGAAGAACTAGGCTCAATGAATAAATATAAATGGACAGGAGAGAAAAACAAAGTTGCTTCATAACTGTATTCCAATGTGATGCTTGTTCAATATTAACAAACAAAAATTCCTCCAGGGTGGCTTTATCCTGCCCTCCAGAAAGCTTCCAGTCAATAAACGCAATTTGTTTTAAAATTTTGGCTAAGTCATATATAATTTAAAGAGAAAGCTACCAAAAATTTTATGATGCTTCCAAAGCCAAATAAAGTTGATTTGGAAAATCAATACTTTACTGGGTAGTTATTGAAGCAGTACTATTTCCTGTAATTAACTGGAATGACTAAGTATTCACGTAAATCGCTTCCACCAATCGCTCGAGCACTTATAATAGGTAAGTAGAAACAAACTGAAAAACAAATCCTTATATTTCACCCACCAAAGTACAATAGGTATTATAGAATGAACAGAAAAGAAATAATATAAATGTTCTACTTAGTAGAATGGAGAGCAACACTTAATTTCAGAGAATAAATTAAATACGTTGTTTTATATCATTAAGTAGTAATATCATCTGGTATATGTGAATATTAGTTTTACAGCAGCAAGTACACATAAGACTAAAAATTTTATTTTTTCTTAATGTTGTAGTTCCTGATAGAAACTAAGTAACACAAGTCTTTCAAAAATACCTCCTTTCAGGGTCTAGGATGAAAAAACTCAACAAGTGAAAAAGTCAGAGAAAGAATATACCTCATTTTAAAGACACCATGTTTTATTAAAATTATTTTTCCATGTTGTATACAAACTGAACTTTTGAATTAAATCCAAATGTACCTTCAGAATAATTCTAGGGTTAAAAGGCACAGTGCAAATGTAAATTACTGCAAAACAACAAAATCCAAAATAACTTAAAAAATTATTTTTAGCACAAAAAATTTCCTTTAAGTAAAATTCAGAGCATCACAACATCGCCAGAATACCTAGCTTGACAATTAATTTTTCCCCATTCATCTTCAAGCTGCATTAAGACATTAACCATAATATTGTGGAATGTTCAGCATTTATGTTTGGTAACCACACATATGTGATCTGTATAACCAGTTAGAATTTCATTTATTCAGACAAGCTGGTGAGTTTGGTATACTTTATAACCTGGAGAGAGTAAGTGATCTTAACATAAAATGTGATAGAGGAAGTATTTCACACCAAACCTAGTCAAGATCAATTAATGTTATCGACAAAACCTAAACAAAGGACATTTGTGGATACTTTCAAACTATATGAAATAGCAACTTGGATAAATATTCTTACTAACTAGATGCTCACAATTTCAAATCAAGAAATTACTAGCCACTCTAAAAACAGAATTAGGGAAGAAGAGTGATTTTAGAGCCGTCTTCCAGTCTCCCACTTCAACACATTGTCACCAAGAAGAAAACATGAAGTAATTTAATATAATCCAATTTCTGTGAAACACAAGTGAAGAAGAGGTGTGTGAAAAACATGCAGTACATTATTATTTCTAATTTTAAATCTCCTCTTAGGTTTTATAAGCTTTGAAATGCAAGTACAGCTTTAAAACATCATAATGAGTAATTATAGATGAATCATAATACAGAAAGTGTACATTCTAAGAGGCATCTGTAGGCGTTTTAATTTGGAAATAAGCATTCTGAGATAATGCTAATAGCAGCGTAGAAAAATGAAGTTAAAAAGTATTCAAAGTTGTGGGAATTCTCTTATTTTTCCTGGGTTTTGTTTTAATCATCTCCACCACAGAGAATGAGCAGGACCTTCCTGTAGTCTCCAGATGTGTCACCCTGGAGGACAAGGGAAGCAAAGTTAAGTCAGGAAAATAAATGGATTTTAAAATGGGATACACAGCTCAAAGTCATCTAGGTTAACTTTCTCAAGCTTGTCTCCATTTTTCTGAGATTTAAAAAAAAAATCATGTGTCATTTTTATTACGAAAGTAATTCTTGTTTAATGGAGAAAATAAAGACATAAAAGAAGAATATAAAAATCATCCATAATTCCACCATCTAGAGATTACTATTCTTAACATTTTGGTTTGTATACATCCTTTTAGGCTTTTTTCTATGCATATAGATTTCTATGTGGTGGGACTGTAGTATTCTTCTATATTCAGTTTTACTTAATACAGCCTGAATATTTCCCTCTTTTAATTTATTAAATGTTCTTCTATGATATCATTCTTTAATGATTACCGATTATCCACTGTACATAGGTAAAATAATTTATTTGGTCACCAACACCACTGTTCGATACTTACGTTGTTTCTAGTTTTGCACTCTTATAAATACTGCTGCAATAAACATAGTTAAATTTTTGTGTATTTTCTTGATGATTTACTCAGGATCAATTTTCATAAAATGAGAATTACTGGATAAATGATAATGCATTTTCTTAAGCCTTTTGATATGGGTTGCAAAATAGCCTTCCAGAAGATGCTATAAAGTCTACATAGAAATTTTTATGGCCGCATTAACAGATCAATTTTTGTTAGTGCTTCAATGGGCACTAGAAAAGATGGAATCTCTGTTTATAGAGTTCAAAGTTTAATATGTATCTATTAAAATAAATCTTAATATATTTGTTTATACTTTGTCTCACTGATCTGCCAAATAAAAAGAATATGTTAAAGTCTCCCTAGTATAGTATTTCCATCTGTGTCTTCTTTCAGAGCATCAAGTTTTTTATTTATATACTTGAATGCATACTATTTGGCACCTAAGTCTCATGAGAATTTACTCGGTCGTGCTGCCTTTATCAAGTGATCCACTTTCTCCTATTTTAATGCTTTTTCTCTTTAAATTCTTTTTTCTTTTACTTATAGTGTAATCCCTACTTTCTTTTTTGAATTTGTCAAATGTTCTCTTTAGTTGTTCCTTATAAACATGGAGTTGGATTTTATATTTATGCCTTATCTGAGAGTTTACTTATTTTTATTGTAACTTACATTTTTACCTTATTTCTATCATTTTTTTCTATTATTTACATATTTTATATTTCTATCATGATCTTTTTGACAATTATTATAGAATGGGCAATGTATTCCTTATTTTTAGTCTTTCCAGTGTTGTGTGAATGTGTGTATATGCATATATATTTACATACTTATATATTTTATTCAAATGTAAATAATGTAAAATAATGTAAATAACAAATAATGTTAGTGAAAATGATATATTTAGTGTACTTTTTTCACATTTCATAAAACAATTTTATTCAGATACTTTCATAGATCTTTAAAAAATTGTGGTAAAATATATATTATATAATAAAATTTGACATTTTAGCAATTTTTTAAATGTTTAATTCTGTGGCACTAATTACATTCACAATGTTGTGCAACCCTCATCCTTATTTCCAAAACTCTTACATCACCCCAAACAGAAACTGTCACCAGGAAGCAGTAACTCCCCATTTCCCCGCTTACCCTTGTCCCTGGTAACGGAAATCTACTTTCTGTCTCTATAAATTTACCTAGTCTATATATTTCATGTAAGTGAAATCATACAGTATTTGTCCTTTTGTGTCTGGTTTATTTCACTTAGCATGTTTTCAATGTTCATCCATGTTTCTGAAACTTCATTCTTCTGATGTATGTATATACTACATTTTGTTTATCTGTTGATGGATATACTTAGGGTGTTTCCACCTTTTGGCTATTGTGAATACTATTTACATTGCTGTACAAGTATCTGTTTGAGTCCCTGTTTTCATTTCTTTTGAGTATATACCTGGGAGTGGAAGTGCTGGACCATATGGCAATTCTATGCTTAACTTTCTGAGGAAGCACCATTTTACATGATCACCAGCAATGCATGAGGTTCCAGTTTCTCCGTATTCTCACCAACATTTTCCTTTCTTTTTGTTTTTTTTTTTTTAAATTATACTCATCCTAGTAGGTATAAAGTGATATTTCATTGTGGTTTCATTTGCATTTCCTAATGATTATTGATTTTCAGCAACTTTTCATGTGCTTATTCACCATTTGTGTATCTTCCTTGGAGAAATGTCTTCCAGATCCTTTCTTGTTTTTTAAATTGGGTTGTTTATCTTTTTGTTATTGAGTTATAGGAGTTCTTTATAAATTCTTGCTAGTAAACCCAGATCAGATATGATTTGCAATAGTTTCTCCCATTCTGTGGATTAATGGACTTTTATTTTATTTTCTCTAAAGAAATTCCTAAACATATAATGGCCAATTAAGAGGTAGAGTTCATTTTTTTAAATATTTATTGCCAAGTTGTCTCCAGAAAAGTTAGACCAGTTTATAGTCCTTCCATAAGAGATGGTGAGTTTTCCCCAAGCTGTTCCTAATGCTGGTTATGAACTCGATAAATTTTGTGAAGGTATTATGTGAAAAATGATGACTTGTTTTTATTTACAATTCATTGAATATTAGTGAGATTAAACATTTCTCTATAAATTGACTATTTCTGTTCCATCTTTCATGAAGTGCATGTTTAATACCCTTTGCCCAGTTTTCTTTTTGGGTTTTCTTTTTTTCTTAGTGATTTGTAAAAGCTCTTAATATAGGGATATTAACCCTATATGTTACAAATATATTTTCCCATCATTTCATTATGGTCATCCTTGAGTCTTTAAAGTATTTTACTTACAGTTAGTTACACTTTAGCTCTGCAAAATAAAGTTACCACATAGGCTATATGGAAATAGAAACAAGTTCCTGAATAAATAATGCTACCATGAAAATCTACAGCTCAAATCACCTAGTAGTTGTACTTCTCCAAGCTCTCAGTGGGATTCAGAGTATTTAATTCACAGATCAAATCCTAATTTGAAGTTTGTTGTGTAGGCAACGCCAACTTCTAGGGAAATTTCCCTAGAAGCTGGTGTTGCCTACACAACAAAAATTAAAATTAAAATTTTACTTTTAATTTTAAAAGTAAAATGTTGCTTTTACTGGGAAGCAAAATCCCAGTAATGAGGGGTTTCCAGGAATGTGAATCATTTGTCATCACTCCCATGCCATGTTAGGATGCCCAAAAATCTGGTGCCAGGTAAGGAATAGCAATCCGGAATAACTCACATGCTTTCCCATATTTTCAGAATACCTCAGCTGGATGACTGATTCAGTGTGCTTATCTCTCATTGTAAGCAGGTAGACAAAGAAATTATACTCTTACACATAGTCATTAAAATATAATCTTTCTGTCTGGGGTCAACATGAAACAATTACTATATTTACAAGGCACACATTTCCAGGTTCTAACCTGGCAGAGATTTAAATATCTGTGTGAAAGGAGAGAGACTGGAAATATCTGAATTAGAGTACCATCTTTAAAGGGAATGATATCTGCCAAGGAGAGGATAAGAAGGGTCTAACTCCCTAGGTCAGAACCCCATCCTTTCATCAGAGCTTTCCCCAGGGCAAGGCAAGGCTCCCGTGACTTACCTTGATGAAAGAGTACAGAGACTTTCCATAGAGCCTCTTGAAGTGTGCCCGGATGTCCAGCATATCAATCTCCGCCCGAGAAACCATTATTCTGATAAGGGTGTCATCATCAGTGCCCAAGCCCTAAGGAAGAAAACAAGATGCCCACATATAAGACTAGCTGGTTTCCAGACAGTTCTGTAGTCTGTCAAGGCACAATGACGGACGACTCTCCTGATTGCCGTCCTTTATACCACAACCTTAGAGGCCTGTGGAATATCATGCCTTGCCATGGTGTTCAAGGCTTTCAGCAGCTTCCTCTTCCAACACTCTGTGTTCTGACCAGAGGAGGCCACTATGTGTCATTCTAGAGACATACCCTGTATTCTCTTACCTGTAATGATTCCTTCCCCTGATGTCATCCTTCCCTTCCCAGCCTTACCAACCTTCCTCCCATGTAAAATCCTTTGATGTAAAACTTCCTTTAAGGTCCTACTCAAGCATAATCACTTCTTTATGTATTCTTTTCTGATCCTCACCCCCTAAACAAAAAAAATGTTGGGGAAAAAATACCCTTTCCTCTGTGTTCCTACAATATTTGGATCCTCAACTTCTGTCTTAACGTTCTGTTTTGTTTTTGTTGGTGTTTTGCACATACCTGCCTCCCCTTCAAGGCTAGAAGTTCTTTGAGAGCAAGGACTACATTTTGACCTTTCCTGCACCTCCCATGGTTCCCAGCAAGGGTGCCTGCACAGAGTACAGCGCATGGTTGGGAGCTTGGGCTCTGAAGCCAGACTGCCAGTGTTGCATCCCTGCTCCATGACTTCTTCACTGAGGACCATGGGCAAATTGCATATCCTCTTTATGCCTCAGTTTTCTCATCTGTAAAATGGGGGTTGATAACAGTACCTGCCCCATAAAGCTGGTGTGGGGATAAAATTAATCTGTATATACAAAGCATTAGGAATAATAATCACGCATTATAAGTACTCAATAAATATTATCTAGTGTTATTATTAGCAGACACTCAGTGAAGTATTTAATAAATAGAAATGACTGTCTCAGACTGATTTTGGCCAATCTGTGTGGGGGCTATAAGTAAGCATATGAAGGTGGACACAGACAAGTCATTCAGATCCTAAAAACGAGGCCACTTACCTTCATAGATTTATAAAGCCTTTCAGCAAAATATGCAGATTTATTCCTCATGCACTTTACTGTCAAGAGATAAAAAACAGAAATGAAAAGATTACAGATAAAATCTATGAGAAAAAACCGACAGTTGTGCCCTCTGTTTCTATAAGGTATGAAGTAGTATCTCTTGATTGCTTTCTCAGAAACATTTTAGCCAAACAATGTTTTATGAACATAGGCGATATTGAAAGCATTTTCACAGATGGGAAGTACCCTCAGTTTACTGTCAAGTTCCTGGAGAAGTGATTAATAAAGGCCATTAAAACAAAAGGCAGCATGTGGTTTCAAAATGATGATGATCTCTACCATTTGTTCTAACCATTTAGACTTGCAAGATACAGCCTGTATAGATTATCTTTCCCATATCCTGAGATATAATGGCACAGAGGATATAAAATATATAAAGCCATATGGTATAATAACAATCAGGTTATATATAACATTTCTTGTTTAAAATTTAGGATCACATCATGAGTGCTTTAAACAACTTATTTTTATCCCTGAAAAAAAAATTCTACATCCCATGACAACAAACGGATAACAAGGAGGAAAATCTGTAAGCATTTGTTTCTCCACTCTCTACCCCTTAACAGCTTACCAATGGCTAGCAGGGCGTCTTCAAAGCTACCAGATGTTTCAGACTTAATACTCTGTTCAATATCCTTCTGTGATATCCTTTTGTACTCATCGAACACTACAAACAATAACAGAATGGAATTATAAATAATAAAAAGAATAAACTAGAATTTACGGACAGAATGAGCATCTTTTAATTAAACCACACTATTTATCCTTCAGCATATTTCAGGGGGAAACTAATTAGCAATGTGGATGAGAACCCGGAGGCATACGGCAAGTGGAAAGGGCCCCAGGAGAGGACATCAGGCAAGTCCTTTCCCTTATCAGAGACCCTGTTTTCTCACACAACATGGAAATAACCTCCGGAGAGATTTGCTTTTCTCATTGTTTCCTTAATAAGCTGAATTGCCTTTTTGTAATTTTGGCTTTGGCAATCATCTGTGTATTCATCTTCCTTTTGGCTCCTCAAAACTAGAGCAATTCAGCCTCTTCAAAACTGAGTCACATTTGATAACAGCTGGTAGCATCTTTTAATAGACTTTAACATAATTACATTTTTTCTCTTTCTTTTTTTTTGCCAAGTATTTTTGCATGTGATGAACATAGTTCCCTCTCTTGCTGTTTCCTAGCGCCTTCTTAGAATGGCTATCTGTTTTATTTTTCTTCTTAACATCACTTTTCTTTGGGGTGCTGCCACCGCCAACAGTGTGATTCTCACAGGGCTGTCAATCCAGGGAAAACCCTGCCCCACAACATATGCCATAAGTTCTATCAAATGAGTGAGCAGTTCACCCATCCAGGACCCATCAGTCTTACCCTGTTAGGAATTTTTTAATTGAGTAGATCATGGGGATGGCCCAAAACACTAAGTCATCTTCAACTTCAGAAAACATAAGAATCATATGGGAAACCTGTTAAACTTCATGGGTGTCACTCTCAGAGGTTCTAAGTCAGTCAGTCTGAAGTAGGGGCTCATGAATCTGCATTTTTCATGGAGACCAGACTTAGGGAAACTTGGCCTTAGAAATAAAATCCACGATTCCTACTGAGATCACCAGAACTGCTTTGATTTCTGTTCTTTCCTGGAGCTGTTTAGCACTCCCGTCAATGCAATGAGCCACCAGTATTTTTCATTTTCCCTCTTGTCCAAGTCTGTACTATTTCCTTTTTTTAAAAAAACTTAAGTTGCAGTCAGTGAACCAGTGAATGTTTAAATAAAAAAAAATTATTACAGTAAAAGACACATTGCCATTAATCAACCTCAAAATACTCCCCCTCACTTGAACACACTTATCCCATCGTTCTTGCCACTTTCTGAAGCAGTTCTGGAAGTCCACTTTCGTGAGTGTCTTTAGTTGCGCTGTTGTGGCTGCCTCGATGACCTGAATGGATTCAAAACATTTACCTTTCATGGTCATTTTAATTTTGGGGAAGAGCCAGAAGTCGCACAGTGCCAGATGTGTTGAATAAGGTGGATGAGGTCACACTGCAATGCTTTTTATTTGACAGAAATTATTGTACCAGAAGCAATGTGTGACACGGAGCCTCACATGTGTGATCACAAAATATGGTGAATGCTGCTGCCGTCCAATGGAAAGGCAGGGATCTTCAATATGGGAAGCGACGCATCAAACCTTAGTAACAGTGTGTGACAAGTTTCAACTTGTTCAGTGCAGTCAGTGGGGTTTGAGCTACAGTTGAGAGAAGGTGTGTTTTAAAGTGTACTGTAAATTGTCCTCCATCATGACAACGCTCCGTGTCACACATCGCTTCTGGTATAAGGCAATTTCTGTCCAATAAAACCATTACAGTGTGTGTATCCTCATCCACCTTAGTCACCGGATCTGGCACCGTGCGAATTCTGGCTCTTCCCCAAAGTCAAAATGGTTCAAGACATGGAGGACAGCGCAACTAAAGACACCCACAAAAGAGGATTTGCAGAACTGCTTCAGAAAGTGGCAAGAAAGATGGGATAAGTGTGTTTGAAGAGAGGGGGAGTATTTTGAGGGGGATTAATGGCAATATATCTTTTACTGTAATATATATATATATATTTTAATTTAAACAGTCACCATATTGTTTGATCACACCTCGTATATTGCTTGGAATAAAAAAACCTAATAGACACATTTTTCTAAGCCTCAGTCTTTTCCACTGTAAAGGGGGGAAAATGATGGCTGCTCCATTGGAATACTGCAACAAACAATGCTTACAATATCCTTAGTGCTGCATCTAGAAGATAGAGAATTAACAAAACCTCAGTTATTATGAATCCTCATTATTGTTGGTTGGTAAGAAACTCATGAAGTTTTCTTTATCCAAATAGTGCCTAAAAGATTTTCTTCCACTGACTTCCAAGCAGATATTTTATAACTGCTTAACTACTGACTTGTGCCTGGAAGTGAAAGTTGTTACAAATGGATTTGCATGAAATTGGCTTCTGAGGACCTGCAATTCTTGAAAAATACCACCAGGGGGAGATTTGTGATGTTAGGAATTGGCAAGGGAAGGCAAATTAGGAGCTGAGTCAGAAGGTGCATCAGATAGTGGCCCAGGACATTTATTAACAGGAGTAATCACTTATTTCTTGTCACTGTGGAATATCTGAAATAACAGCAACTTCCAAATGTGTTGTAATTTTCAACTACTTTATGTTTTCAATTTAGAAAACTCATTCTTCTCAAATTTCCCACAAGTTTTGTAAATTGTGTGTGATATAAGGGCACAGTGGGTCTATAAAATTATGACATAGCATAAAGACTTAAAGAGCTCATAAAAAAGATGAAAGATCTTATTAAACCTTTCTTGCTGTTTACAAGAAGAAACTAAACCTGACAACAAAGACTGTACACTTGTATGGTATCTTTTCCCCAAAGAAGTTAAAAGCACTTTATAAAGACTAGCATTATCAGAAGCAAATTAGAAACATTCCACATAGGAAATAAAATTTGAAATTATCCACTGTTCATCTGATACAACATATCCCCTAAAGAAATCCCTTCTACTAGTTTTACAACTTGGACATTAAATAGGAATAAACGTCAACCAACATTTCTGTTTTCTTGCTCGCTGATGTACTGAAAATATTTTATGTAATTAAATTTAAATTGAGCTGCTTTAGAAAAAGGACTAACTATGAAGGTCAGTTTCCTTTAAACAGGAATGCCAAACTTCTATGAATACATTGTGTATCTGCTAATTATTTATGATTAATCTTTCAGAAATTGGCCCTAATGCACATCGTTGCACTCATATATTTCCAAGGTAAGACATGTAAGACAGTTCAGGACAATCAGTTCCTTGTCCCATGTAAAGGGGAAAAGGTTATCGATTTAATTATGGGCAATGTAGTTCTCACTTTCTTTTAAACAGTTTCTTTGGAAGATGAGGCAAGTGCCTTACCGTGCAGCAGATGATTTCGATTCCGGGAACAGAGAACAGTCAGAAATTTCACCTCATCTGTCCCCCATTTCTTCTCTCCAGCCTCATAAAGGTCCTGAAGCCAAACAAAGCACAAATTTAAAACACCATAGAGAAGATGCCAGGACATCTCTAAATATTTCCAGAATTTCAAAGAGCTGAGCTGGCTTAGTTTTATTTTGTTTGTGATGGGGCTGGAAGTGGTATTGGCGGTGAGTGGTAATGACTCAGGATTTTTCCTCAGGCAGAAGATTAATGGTATCCTATAATATCTTCTGGAGAGTCAGGGCAAACACCAGCAGCTCCCTACATGCAGCGTATATGGTTACATCTTAAGAACTAAAAGGAATGTCCTAGACTTGGGCTGTCCCATACAGAAGCCACTAACCACATGTGGCTATTTAAATTTTAATTAATTAAATAAAAAATTTAAATAAAAAATGAAATTCAACTCCTCAGTCATACTAGCCACATTTCAAGTGCTCAGTGGCCATATGTGGCTAGTGACTACCCATAATAGACAGTGCAGATATAGCACATTTTACACATTACAGAAAGTTTTATTGGACAACACTGCTCTCGAATGATGTGTGATTTGCTTGGGACTACAGAAGGTCTCACAGTAGAACCAGGACCCATCAGTAATCACTTATATTCCAATCAGGTAGGAATACAAGAAATTGATTCTGGTCACTTTACACTATTTATAAATCAAAACTACTGTTCATATCACCTCAAACCCCTTAGGATGGCTGCTATTAAAAAGAAACAGAAAATAACAAGTGTTGATGAGGTTGTAGAGAAACTGGAATCCTTATGTAATGTTGGTGAGAATGTCAAATGATACAGCCTCTATATCATACAAACAGTATGGATGTTCCTCAAAAAATTAAAGATAGAATTACCGTATGACCCAGCAATACTATTTCTGGGTATATATCCAAAAGAATTGAAAGCAGGATTCTAAGATATTTGCAAACCCATGTTCATAGCAGCATTATTCACAACAGCCAAAAGGTGGACGCAACCCCAATGTCCATCCACACATGAATGGATAAACAAAATGTGGTCTATACACATAATGAAATATTATGTAGCCTTAAAAAGAAAAGAAATTCCTACGGGTGTTACAACATGGATGAACCTTGAGGACATTATGCTAAGTGAAAAAAGCCAGACACAAAGAGACAAATATTGTATGATTTCAGTTATAAGAGGTGTCTAGAGTAGTCCAACTCATAGGAATAGGAAGTAGAATAGTGGTTGCCAGTGGCTGGGGAGAAGGGAAAATGGGAAGTTGTTAAATGGGTCTAAGAGTTGCAGTTTTGCAAGATGAAAAAATTCTGGAGATGGGTTGCCCAATATGTATATAGTTAACACTGCGGAACTGTATCTATTATTTCTTTTAGTGTAAGCTTCATCCCAAGAACAGATAAAACTGGACTGGTTAGATAAAAGCCTCTCTATATTTTAAATTTTCTACCCTTTATAAGTATTTACTACCAAATTCTACCTGCTCTGATCATTCTCATCTCAAACTCATTTATTTTCCTACATCAAAATCCAGCTATAATATCCAAAGTCTGCAAATGATCCCCTTGCTGCTGACGCAAATTAAAAAGCAAAGATGGACAAGGTTTCCTACTGTCTTATCCTGGAAGAGCTGAAACCTTGACTGGAGTTGTTCTTAAATTCCTTGTCTCTTGCTAGGACTTGGAAGATCCAGAAAAACCCTATTCTGAGCTCTACGCCCTCTGTCCTACTTCCCCAGCCTAAACTTGTTTAGAAGCATTTTTTCACCTGGTCATCTCCAAGAGAACTATGCTCCTTGAAGAGCTCAAACATATTTGTTTGTTGAATTCCATGGTATTAAAAATCAGACAGACCTGGATTCAGAGAGCCCAATTCCACCAGCTTTGTGATCTTGGACAAGTTATTTAAATCTGTGCATGTTTCCTAATCTTTAAAACAATAATATCTACTTCCCAGATTTGTTGTAAGGGAAAAATGTAAAGTAGTCAACGCAATGCCTGGCACCTAGTAAACCCACAAAAATGGATCGTGAATATAATGTTTCAGGAATAAATTGCTCACTAACTCTTCATTTGATTTAAGGTTCACCTAGGCTATGGAGGCTCCTTTCAACATGCCCAAAACGGTCCCCTGAGGTAGCTGAAATTCACATAGGCATCCAAGAGTTCCAATGTCTTCAATACTTTCTCCCTCCTCAAAGCTTCTGGACTGAAGGCAATTTCCTATGTCTCCTGTAAGGGACGGGCCTCCCTGAGTCCTCAGAGCTCTTATGCCACACATACCCCTCTACGTTCTAGTGAAAGCAAAAGGTTCTTTCCTGCAGAATCCACAGAGGTTCATACCTCACATACTGAGTGGAACCAGTCCCTCTCTACGGTTGTATAATCGTGAAGAGTACAGGGTCTAGATCCAAATTGTCTAGCTTCATATCCCAGTTCTGCCACTTATTATCTGTCTGAACCTGCGCAAGGAACTTGACTTCTCTGAGCCTCAATGTCCTTGTCCGTAAAATGGGGATAGCAATACTTATTTCATAGGGTTATTGTAAGGATTCAGTGACATATTTCATATCAAGAGCTAGCACAGTGTTTGGTACCTGATAAAGACTCACTTTTTATTAGCTGTTACTAGTGTTATCTGGCCACAGTGAATAGACCAGGGGTTGGTGCCAGGGCAGTCATCAGTGGGCTGGGTACCAAGGAAGCAACTTCTATCTTGGGTTTTGGTATTAATTTTACCCAACAGGGGATACACACTATGCCAAGCTTTTTTACACAGGTCCTATCAAATGTTCTCTTTGGAGAAGTACAAATGTAAGGTAAAACAAAGCAAAGGCAGGTCTTTTCATCTCCAAGTGATTTAGAAGACACTCCACGGTTCTCTGGGGTGTCCACACCACAGTCTTAATGTGAAGGAATCTAGACTCCAGAGGTGCATATATAATGTCGCCTCATGCCACCCCCAAACCCCACGTGCACTCCAAGCAGGAGGAGCACTAAGCACAGGCAAGGAGGCAGGAAACACATGGTGTGATCAGGGAACAACTGGCTGAGCAGTCGGGTTTAATTTAATCCTAAATGAAATGAAGAGTTTAGTGAGCAATTTATTCCTGAAATATTATATTCACTATCAACTTTTTGCAAGCAACTTCTGCTATTAAAGGTCATCTGTGGGAATCTTTCTAATAACACATCCCAGCTGGCCCGACAGACACTGAAATATGAGAGGGAGTCCATCAACTAAAGCCTGTCTTATTGTCGAAAGAGAAATAAGCTACAGTTCTACTCACCTGGGCATCCTGTCTCATGAGATCATCATCCAGATGATTTCCTTCATCCCTGCCACCCTGGGGATGAGAAAAACACACCAAAGAGAATGAGAGAGTAGCCATAAAGATGTGGATAATGCCAGGCAACCCAAGAACCTGGTAATTAGACAGAATGCCACCAGGGGTCACACTTCCAGCCTAGGGAGAGAGGACAGATGTCCCTTGAGTGTGCTTGCGTTATTCCTGTGGCTCTGATCTGAGCCTAGAAAACATACCAACCAGAGGGCAAGCCCTTACTGTATGGGTATCTCTGCAACATAAAACAGGGAAAGAGGACGAAGGCTGCCTACCGACTGCTCCCTCCAATACTATTTTCTCCCCTTCTGTACCTCCGCCTAGTCCTCCCAGCTGACTCCCACCTTTGGAACTAGCAAATCTACATTGATCGATTCTGCCAAATAGGGGTTGGGAACAGAGAAGAAGAGAGAGTCTGGGACCAGGGATGGGGCTTGAGGAACACATGAAAACGCCTCATCCCTCACCAGCACCAGCTCACAGGGAGGGCAGGGTTGACGTCTTAGACGAATGCTAAAGAGCAGCAAAACGGATTACTTTCCTCTGGTTTGTTAGACTGTTTTTATGGCTATTCTGTCTCAATATTCTATGGTCTAGGCATGGCTCGGCAGAATGGCAAATCTGGGGGTAAAAGAAAAAATGGGTAGGAAATAAGGAAAGCAGACTGCATTATTAAGTAAATCCAGAGAAAGAACGAGATGGGAGCTCGAGATCATTTCCAGGGTTTTGCTTTGAACAGCAACAATATTAACAGGAAAAGACAAGTCAGGAAAAAGAGCTGGTTTGGAGGAAAAATGAGTTCAGGTTTAGTTTAGGAGGATGGATTTGAGGTGATGGCAGAATATCCATAAGGAAACATCTAAAAAACAGTGAGAAATGAGTTTCACACTCAGGAGGTCAAGGATAAAGATACAATTGGGAAGTCATGTGAAACAGCTCCTGTATCCATCTTCTCTTTTTTGGCACCCGCTGCTCCCACGCTAGCCTAGTCCTGCTTTATTTCTCACATAGAATATTGAGGTAACTTCCAACCTCGTCTCTCAGCCTCCAACTCCTTGCCATGGCAATTAATCTTAGACCCAACTATTACATTACTCTTCTAAAAATGCATTTCCAATCATACCATTCTACTGCTCCCATACCTTCAGTGGCTCCCTACAGCTCTCCAAAGAAAGTGTAAACTCTTCCCAACATGGAATCCCAGTGCATCCTCTCACCTTGCTCCTAGAATTACCAACCTGACTGCTCAGGCAGTTATTCTCTGATCACACCACGTGTCCCCTGCCTCCCTGACCGTTCTTAGTGTTCTTCCTGCCTGAATGCACCCATCCACACCTCTGCTTCTTGAAGTCCTAACAACGCTCCAAGTCCTCTCTGAACCTGACCTCTGCCATGAAGCCTTTTCTTTATTTCTGCAAACCAAAATTTTTCTGGAACCTACCTTTTTCTGGAACCTCTCCTTAGGCACTTACTTTTCACGCCTTTATTCTAGCAACTTGTGTACCTGATATATTCCCTTATGACACTATAAACTCCTAAAGCCCAGGAACTGCCTCTTAATCACCCTCATTAATTCTCAATGCACTGACTAATAAGGGTACCGGACATGTTTGAGGTACTTGTATATATAAATTAGAACAAATGGGCATAATGAATAGCCAGAGTCTCTAAAGGAGAGAAGATAAAACACCAGAGAGGCCCAAGAAAAAATTCTGAGGAATATTCACAGTTGGGAGGCTGAAAGGAGGAGAAAGCCTGGAAAAGAGGATGGAGAGGGAGCATGTCAATAAAACCCAACCCCCATCAGAAGCAGCCAACAGAGAAAGCCACTCACAGCAGACAGAGACACCAGCACTCGCTGGAACATGAACGATGTGTCGGAGCGAATGTCATCTTCAAGGCTCCGGTCGTATTCTAGCAAGAGAGTAAAATTAGCTGTATGAGGATAGAGCCCTGCCCAACACTGTCACACCCAGAGCCTTCTGTCCCCTCTGGAACCAGCCTGTGTACAGAAGCAGCTCCGCGTGAGGTTTTTCACCTCACACAGTTTTTCAAACGCTAAGCTCTGGTGAAATGGTCAAGGTAAGTTTAGCTTGTCATTATCATGGAAACGAGGCGTTCCTGTTCCCTAACATGGGGCGTGGAGAAGGCTGGGGCTGCAATCCTCACTCATCCTACTGTCCAGGGGTCTGTTCTGAACATGGTTTTCAGTGGCGCTGAGAACAGTAAGCTTTGAAAAGCAAAAAGAGTAGAGTCTCAGAACCCGTGTTTGGGGACCAGCAGGGAGCTGCCAAGCCCCAATTCTAGCATGTACCTTCTCTGCCCCATCACTTGCTCAAGAGCGTCCCCAAGAGGAGCTCCAAACAGTCGCAGCCTGCAGGGGGAGACTTCCTGCATTTAGCAGGTGTGGCAATCAGGTGCTAGAACCAAATTCCCAAGGTTCAGAATATGCTGCTCTGAACACTTACCAAAAACTATTATTCGTTTGTTTTCCTTCTACCAAACATGTACTTCCTAGTACATGTTTACTACAAAAAACTTAGGAAAAAAATCAATAAGTAAAACAAAGGGGGAAAAATTAAAAAAGAAAAAAACTCTCACCCTAATCTAATCACCCAGAAATACTCATCAATAACATTTTGGTGAATATCCTTTCTCATTTCCCTTATATACATGTATTGTCTTTTTTTCTTTAAAAATATGGGATCACGGCATACTATTTTGTGACTTTTTTTTTCGCTTATCTGTATACCATACCCTTTAATGTAATTGAATAATATCCTTCAATATACAGTTTGATGACTACATAATAGTCCATCGTGTGGGTGTACCATGTTTTGTTTAGCCAATCTGCTAAACTGTTGGACATTTTTAGCTAAGATAACAAATACCAAATAAACACTATGGGATCTAAACCTTTGTGTAGTTTTTATCATATTCTTAGGGCAAAAAGGCATGCATCTTATAAAGGCTCTTTGTCTATATCATTTTCTGGAAAATTTAAAGAGGGGAGTAAACAGCTGTCATTCTGAGATGGCTGGAGGGCATACACTCCAGTCTGAAGGTAAGTTGGGTGAGACAGCCCCTCCAGGCCATTCCTTGGAATGCTAAGATTCCCCTGGTGCCCGCACTTTTGAACAAGCACTTTTGATTCTCTGCTTGATAACAAGGAACAACTGTCTAGCTTTCAGGGTAATAAAACACTGAACTGGATAGCCTAGCAGAGTGGCATATTCACCTGAGAATCCAATAGACAATCACTTGCCTATTCAGAGATCGGCTGGAAAGCAGCGCTTGGAAGGGAGAATCCCTCATGGTCAGTTTGATCAGTGGGTAACCCCCAAGCCCCCTTTTCCCCACTCTGCTAGTCTAGTTCTCAGATCACAGTGAAACCTCAGCCAGGGCTACTGAGGATGCTACGTACGCAGCTGGTAGGTCTGGCTTATGCGCCGGATCTCCTCGGGCGTCCGGGAGGCCAGGATCTCAATCAGGCAGCCCTCATCAGTGCCAGCTCCCTAAATGGGAAACCCAGAGGAGAGGACTTTATGAGTCAGTTTATAAAACCAAGTCCCAGACAGAGAAGGAATACAACCAAGAATCTGCAGAGAATAAAGACAATCCACAGGGTTCTAGCTACAGGACTGCCTCCCTTTTAATTGTCCTGCTCCAATTCCAGTGTGTTTACTGTAGTCACTCTCATAACAAACATTTATGGGCTGTTTCTGTGTGTTGGTTCTTGTGCCAGGTTAGGGACAGTTTCTGCTCTCTGGGGGCTTAACCTTTCCTTCATCTCCTCTGTACTTTTCCCTTGAAGGACAGAATCTTCTGGTAAAGGCAACATGTTACCTCTTTGTTTTCCCAGAGCCTCGCCCAGAACTTTCCACAAGACTGAGTATTTATTGATATGGTTGAGGAAAGGACTTGTATTTGAACTTCATACTTGGCCATTAAAAACAGGCAGACCCTGGGCTAAGGCACAGCGGATCTGCTATGTAGGGAGACTGAGAACCCTTTTTTTTTTTGGTGCCAGTTCTGAGCCTACTGCAGACCCAGGGGCCCCCACGGTGTCAGTTGTAAAGTTTCATATCTTGAAAGTAGCTAACACGGCAAGAAAGTTTCTGGAGCTGCACAGAAAGCATGATAACCACTCCCTTCGGAGCCACAGGAAAGAGTGAATGATTCCGTCGCTTTTTGGAAAACAACTTTTCACTTACAATTGCTTTAATGTAATGTCATGTTTTCAAGTGGTCATAAATGAAGGAAAATCTTCCTCCTAGCCTTCATCCATCCCACTCTCAGAGGGCCTCTGTCACAGTTTCTTGAGAAAGCTCGTCAGTGTTTGCACTGACCACACAGAGAGCATGAGGGGAGCAGCACAAACCTTCATGGCCCTTCGCAGCTCCTGTACGTCGTACAGCACCGTGGGTGTCATCATCCCCACAATCACACTCTCGAAGTTGCCACTCAGTTCTGACTTCAAGTCATCTATCAGGTCCTGCAAGGTCGAGAAAGCAGCTTGCTTAATTGCTACGGTAACTTAAAAACTAGCCGCTTTCAAAGAAATGGGGGTCTCTGAGACTTTTCAGGGGAACTTCAAGGTCAACACTGTCTTCCTAATAACACTAAGACATTATTTGCCTTTTTACTGTCATTCCCTCAGAATTGTATAGTGTTTTCCAAAGGTGACTTGACATAGCTACAATAATATTAAAAGGCTATTAAAATATTACTCCCTTTTCTAACTACGTATCTGTATAAGACTAGATTTTCTTCACACACTTCAACCAAAACCACATACTGCAAACAAACTGAATGCAGAGGCAGATATGAGAGGCTAGCTGTCGTCCATTAAGCCAGGCATCAAAGAGATTTGAAAAATGTAAAACAATGCCAATCGTCTCACTAAATATTTTTTTGTTTTGGAATATGTAGCTGTTTTACATAAAAATGTTATTTATATTTATTTTTGAGGGGTTTAAGTGATTTCTTAAAAAGTAAACAAATCCATATTTTAAAGTGTTCTCAGTTTTAATTTCAAATATAATTACTAGCAATAGATATAACCCACAGAAAACAAAAAGTCCTCAATGATTTAAGAGTGTAAAAGGAGTCCTGAGATAAAAAAAGTTGGTTAATACTGACTTAAATGTATCAGTTCACTTAACAATATACCCCGAATATATTTCCAAGTCAATAGTCACCTACGACATTTCTAACAGTTGCAGAAATTCCTATATTTAGATGCAATATAATTTCTACTGGGCCCCTGTTTGTATTTTTCTACTGTTACATACACAGGCATTTAGTTGTATCTTTTTAATCATTCATGTTTACTTTCTAAGGCTCAATTTATAATAAGAAATGTAATTATTTGGACAAAGGACCAAATTCTAAATATATTTTTCCACATTTCCTACTAGAACAGGTCAGAGAGTTTAAGAACCTGCTTAATAAGATCAACGAACCAATAAAGAGCAGAGCTACTATTCAAGTCCAGATCTCTGACCCTCATAAACCTGAATCTATACCACAATCTATTATGTATATTTTTATGTTACTTCCACATATCGAATGAAGGAATAAAAAAATTTTTGCTTAATCCACTAATGTTAGTCATTTTAACAAAGTGCCATTAGATTAGCTTAGTTCTAGTTCTGAAGCAGAATAATCAACCTCGAATGTGTGTGGCAACATGTTTTAGGTCTCTAGTTCACACGTCATATGCACGTTCATGCCTATCTGTGCTCATTAAATTTCGTTGAGGAAGAAGAAGAGTTCAAAATGCCCAAAAGGTAGTCCGAGCTACGAATAATCCCATTCCCTACTGGGGTGCCCAGCCAAGGTTCACCTTGCAGATGCTCTGGGGAACAGCTGAGTGGCCTTGTGCACCCAGCAATTTAATGCCTGTCTTTGAGAAGCAGCATTTGGCTGTAGAGTATCTCAGGGATAGAAATACTTAGTCATAGTTCCTGTACTCTGAGGCTGGAGCCACTCATTGATGTTTCCTCAATAAAAAGATTCTTGCTAATCACGCAGATAGGTTTTCAGTGATGTGGAAAGATTGGGTGTAATGACGCTGGTTAAGTGTGTCATTAAAACGGAGACAGAGAGAGGGTTCTTGAGGGGTATGGGATTCAAACTGGAAGGGTAAAACATGGTGAGGGAACAACCTCTGAATGCATAAGCTAATAAATTATATACATATACACAAACATGTAAGTCCCATTCTAGAATTTGATGAGGAACTGAGGATCATCAAAGGAATGAATATATGCTACAAATGGGTTTATGCGGAAGAGTTGGAATAAACCGTAAGTCCTAGGAAAGTCTATTTAAAGCAAACTGGATTTAAATATTTTCATCAGCTTGGAGGGTCTTCATCCACAGTGGCCTAAAAGAAGCCTGTTCAGGGTCAAGGAAGCAACACTGGGAGGTCGGCCCTGTCTGATGCTCAAAAGGGTGCTGGTTGAGTCTATTCAATAGCCAAGTTCCTGCAAGGACCTGGGTGGGGAGAGACTAAGCTTGACCTTGAGTTCTGTGACTCAAGAGCTCCCTGAAATTACTTCTTGCTAAGGATAATTGAGCGAGTGTGTTGAAACCATTTTTTTCAAGAATATCTTTAAACAAGGCAAAGACTCTGTCTTTTGAAAACACAGCGCCACTGAAAAATCTAGATCAGAGAGACTGTGGCCTACCCTGCCGATGGAGGATTTGTAGGCCGTCCTGATTTCCTGGCGCTGGGCCGTGTTGCGGTAGGCGAGCACATTGATAATGGCGTCTTCATCGGTGCCTGGTGGTAGGGGAGCAGAGACAGTGAGTGAGTGTAATCTGAGAAAGGAATGAGAAAATGGGCTCCCCTGCACAACCTGGGGTCACCCAAACACACGCAGAGAGCTTTCTAAGAAAAGCGGTTCGTTCAGAGGGTTTGTCTATTTTGGGGGGGAAACAGACCCTGGATTTGAGTCTTAGCCTCTCCTTCCATTAATTGTTAACCACTGAACAAAACAATTCAAGTCTCTGAGCATTTGTTTCCTTGTCTATACATGTGCGTGATCACGATCACAGAGCTGCTGCAAGTGTTCCATAGAACAATGAAGTGAATTACTTAGCACAATGCCCAACTCTTACTAAACAGTCAATAAATGCTGGCTGGGATTGTGCTTTCCACCCTGCTTTCCCCCCTCCTCTGGAATTCTTCCCTGTCCTTTGGAGCCTCTGTATCTATTTCCATGTTCTTGCCTTTTCTCTCATTTATAATCTCTTTATCATTTTCTCTGAGATTTGAAACAATTCAAATTTGTCTTTTAATTCACTGACTTGGCACTTTGCAGGGTCTAAATTGACTGCTCGCTGCATTCGCTGTGTTTTAATATCTGTAGTTGTGTTTTTCACTTCCAAACTGCCTTTCCTGATCTCAGATGGCTCCTTTTCTATAACTGCCAATGAATTCCCATGATGCAATATCCCCCCAAAGCTTTACAGTATGAATTACAAATTAGAAATGTCCTAAGTTTTGTTTGCCTGGTTCTTGCAGCAAAGCAGCTTTTACGGGGGTGGGGGTGGGGGTGGGGGAGGCTTTATTCTGATTTTTCACATTGGTCCCTTGTTTCAGTTACAGCTGGATGTTCATGTATGTCTGGTGAATTTTCTGTTTCCTCACTGTTTGTACCATGTGGGGAGTTGTGATGGAACCTGCTCTCTGTTCTCTTAAAAAAAAAATGAGGGTAATAAACACAATCATTCTTTTCTCCTTCAGAAATCTCAGCTGGGGAGAGAAAGTTCATCGCCTTTTGCTCACCTGCTTTCTGTGAAAGGTACCATCCTTTTTCCAGTCAGTCAGGTTCGAACCCATAAAATAGCTTTGGTTTTTTTACCCTTTCTTCCTCCACATTCAAATTTCCTGCAAAGTCATGCAAAATCTAGCTCTGTGATCATCTTTGCATCTGTCCCCTCTTTTTATTTATTTATTTTTAAAGATTTTTTTATTGGGGAATTGGGGGGATGGGAACAGTGCTGGGGAATTGGGAGAAGGGGAACAGACAAATTGCTGTCATTTTGTTCTTCAGTCTAGTTGTGGAGGATGTTGCTTCACTGGACCAAGTTGGCACCATTATTGCGCTCTTCCCGGGCGAGGCAGTCAGTCGCCGGCTTCTGGACGGCCGCTCACTGCGGCTGCTGGCCGCTCACGCTGAAAGCTGGCTACACACAGTAGCCCATGGCAACCCATTGCCACAGGGGCTGCAGCCTTCGCCGGTGACTCACGGCAGCCCAGCTCCAGGTTGAGCTGTTGTTCAGCATTTTAGCTGTAGAGGGCAGCGTCACTGGCCCTCATATGTGGGATCCGAACCGGGGCACTCTGGCGTCCCAAGCCAGTTCTTAACCATCGTGCCACTCGGCCGGCCCCTGTCCCCTCTTTTTAATTCATACCACTACCACTACCACACCCATTCAGGATCTCATGGTTTCTTCTTTTTTTTCTTTTTTCTTTTCTCCCTGCCTTCTCAGAAAGCGCCCAACAGCCAAGTCCAGCTTTGCAAGCACTTCTTGCTATAAGCCACCTTTCCATGTATTTACTGTGATGCCCGTAGGCCTCAGCTAAACTGGAAAACGGGACAATGCTCACACTCATCCCATGTCTTTACTCATGCTATTCCATTTGCCTGAAGCACATTCTCTCTTCTCTCTATTTATTGAAACTCATCTCCCAAGGCCCGCCTCTCATTCTACATTCTCCAAGGTGTTTTGCCTGATGTCCCCACATGAAATGATCTCTCTGAACCTTAATAGGATCTTATTTGTGCCCCTCCTATAGCTATCATATTATGAACCGGTCATAGTGTTTTCTGCATATGCCTTAGCCACCTAGCATGCACGGACGAGTTGACCACAAGGCTTAGGCTTTACAAGCCTTATCTCCTCCGACTGTCCACCTTGCATTGGCCCCCACACAGCAGGCACTGAAAAGCAATGGCTGTGTCAAATGTCTCCTGACTCTGATTTTGAGAATTCTGAATGCCATGTGGCACACATTCTGAATTATGGTGCCCTTGACATATACCAAACAATTAGGATAAACCTGAAAAAAAAAAAGTGGGCCCAGTACATTTTCCATTTTATTTATGAAAAAGGGGAAATGAGGAGATAGATACATAGATTGAGAACAATGCTCTGTTTGGAGGTGGGCAGCATGATAGCCCAGTGGGTCAAGTGCCACCTCTGGAGCCGGACTACCTGGAATTGCCTCGAATCCTGACTCTAACACTTACTCGTTCTGAGAGACCTTGGACAAGGTAGGCAGCCTCCCCAAATCTCAGTGTTCTCATCAGTAAAACTGCTATCAGGATTAAAACAGATAATCCATGTAACACACTGTGCCTGACACACAGAACTTAAATGTTCACTAGTGTTATTATTGTTGCTGGTGCTGTTAGGAGCATGGGGGCTAAGTAAAAGGAACACTTCTTGGAGAGAAAAACTGGGGAACTAAGGCCTCATGGTCAAGATTTTTATCCAAATCTCAAGGAGGTTCTAAATCGCAGCTTTAAACCAGGGGGCCTTCTCGGGCCAAATGTCCACCCAAGCAAGGAACTGGGCCAGGGCGGCCCGCAGTACACCCTGCGTGACTGTGCTCCCCCAGCACGAGGCCTTTGCCCTCGGGGAGCTAACTGGAGGGAAGTGCACTGGAAGACAAGCCTTTGTGGTTGTGTGCAGGTGGCTTTCTCACATAAACCCCCACACACTGCATGTTGGGACTGTGCAGCTGTGCCCATTACAGCAACAGGTGGAGGGACTCAAGGGAGAGAATGTGGACTTAGAGTGGGCAAACCCGGTCTCGGCGCTGGGCTCTGCTGAGTGACTCATGGCTCAGTTCGACTTACTGTGTGACTTACTGTGTAACTTAACTTCTCTGGGTCTCAGTTTCACATCCGTAAAATGGGGCAAAAATAACAATAGCTGCTTTCACTAAATCACAAGGTCGTTGTATTTATCCATTGAGATAATATTTGTGAAAGTGCTTTGTAAACCTTATGGCACTATACACACCCAGCACTAAGTGGAAAACAAATCCATTTCTAAAATTTTAGATATAGATTCATAATGTGGTGATATAAAACAGATTTCAATAATTGGGAAAATACAGAATGAGTACATGAAATTAAAAATTCTGTAGTAAAAGTGCATTATGAATGCCCTTCCATCTCATTTGTCCTGAAAAGCCAACTTGTTCCCACTGTGTTTTCTTAGACGGAGACCTACTCATCATTGCCAGTGGACACAGCATCCTCTGAGTGACTCTGTGACACACAACACATGAGAGAGTGGGACACTTACCAAGCCCTTTCATGGCCTTCCTCAGGGCCTGGGCATCTTCAGCGGCATTGAATCCTGAAGCAGGTTTGATGGTGCCTCCTTTGGTTGCCTGAGCACAGAGAAAGATATGAGTGACAAGCAGCATCTGACCGACACAGAGGCGCCTCATTCAGCAAACATTTGTTGAGCACCTACTATGGGCCAGACACTATTCTAAGTGCTGGGGTTACAGCAGGGGCCATGAGAGATGAGGCTCTTGCTCCCACAGAGCTGACTTTTAGTTCAGGGGGGAGGTGAGGAAGGGGCAGACAGTAAACAAGCCAACACAATCATATTCCACCACTTGCCAGGTGGTGAGAAGTGCTACAGAGCAGATAGAGAGGTCCTGGAGGGGCTCCTCTGAGGAGTGACATTTAGGCTGAGATCCCAATGACATGAAGCAGCTGACCACACAAAGATCATGGGGGAAAGTGTTACAGGCAGAGGAAACAGCTAAGGGAAAGGCCCTTAGGCTGGAACTAGCTTTTATGGGAGCAGCAGGACAGAGGCCCGTGTGGCTGAAGTTGGTGGGCAAAGAGGAGAGTGGTAAGATCAAGTTATACAACAACCTATGCGTAATCTTATCGTACCCCCCTTCCCACACCCACCCACACACACACACACACATAAAGGGGGGAAAAATCAAACCTGAATCTGATCAATCCTCTAGAGGCAACTTACAGTATATAGAAGAGAGATGGAAATGTCAACCCACATCACATCGTTGGAAACAATTATATTTCAAGGGGAATTGGAAAAGAGAGAGATGGAGGGGAACTATAGCTGAGATTTAAAAAGCATATCAGTAATCACAATGGGTGAACCTTACTTGGATCCTGAATCAAACAAACAGTAAAAAAAATATTACATTTATGAGACAATTGGAAATTTAAACACTGACTTGATATTAATGACATTAAGGAATCAGTGCTAACATTTTTAGGTGTGATAATGGTATTGTGGTTCAATTTTTTTTAAGCGTTTAATGTTATATGTATTGAAATAGTTTACAGATGAGATAAGATGTCTGAAATTTGCTTCAAAATAACACAGGTGGGACAGAGTAAATGAAGATAAAAAGAAATAAGACTGACCATGAGTTAATAATTATTGATGGGTACAAAGGGGTTATTTTAAATATTCGGTCTACTTTTATATGTGTTTAAACTTTTGCATAATAAAATTTGTTTTCAAAGAAAGAAGGAAAGAGGAAGGGAGGGAGGGAGGAAGGGAGGAAGGAAGGAAGGAAGGAAGAGAAAGAAAGAAGGAACAGAGAGGTAGGCTGAGGCCAGAACAAGGCAGCTCTTGCACGCAAGCCAGGTAAAGAGTTTATATTTTATTCTAAGTGCAGTGTGAAACCACTGACAGGTTTTAAGCAAGGGGATGGGGCAGATGATATGATTTACATGTTAAAAAGATCACTCACAGGCTGGCTGAGTGGCTCAGTTGGTTAAGAGCTTGCTCAAGAGTTTGAGTTCTGAGCAACAGGGTTGCCAGTTCGATTCACGGCCCGAGCTGAGCTGCCGCTGAGCTGCCAACAGGTGGCAGGATGGCTCAGCTAAAACTAACTAACTAAATAAATAAATAATAAAACATAAAATATTTTTAAAAAAAAGATCACTCAGGCTGCTGTAGGGTGATTGATGTAGGGACCAGTTGAGAATCTGGGCCAAGATCCAGGGATATGATGTGAAACAAGGATGAAATAGAAAAGATGGAAAGAAACAGACTCAGCACATGTCTTGGGGCAAAGGCGACAGAACTTGCTGATGGAATGACGTGGGGGGTGAAGAAAGAAAAGAATCAAGTGACTCTAAATCTTTCCCCCTCAAGCAGCTACACAGAGAGTGATATCATTTACCCAGATAGAGAAAACTGGAGGAGGACTACTAGATTTGGGGTGACAGTAGGGGGTGGGATTTAGAAGTTCTATTTTCAAAACATTACATTTGGGGTGTCTATTAAACATCCAAGTGCAGTTGTCAAAAGGACAGCGGGCTATGCAATATAAGCAGAAGTCAAATCTAGAGTCATAAATATAGGACACATCAACATTTGGACGGTATTGGATGAGATGACCTAGGGAAAAAGTAAAGCTGGAGAAGAACAGGACAGCCAGGGCCTCTCCAGCAGGAGGGGTCCAGCACAGAAGGAGAACCCAGAAAGGATGACCAAGAAGGACTGGTCCTTGAGGTAAAAGGAAAACCAGCACAGTGTGTTGTCTAGCGGCTAAGGAAGGGAGTAGGGAGTGCCTGCCGAGGCAGGTGTAAGAGGAGAACCCAGGAGGCTGTCAGATTTGGTAGCATGGAGGTTTCTGGTAACCCCGACAAGAGCTTTTCTACTGGAATGGAGGGGACAAAAGCCTGACTAAGTGGGCAGAGGGGAGAATGGGAAGTCATGAGGAGGAGACAGCAGCTCTAGACAACGGAGGCAAACTAGCATCACTGGGAATGATCAATGTAACTTAAAGTAAGGCATACTCTGTTGTGTCCAAAGATAAAAAATTAAGTGAACCTGACTTTCTGCAAATAAAGATTAAAAATCAAAAACATCAACAAGCAAAACATGGGTTAGTGACCAGTAGGAACCATATCAGTTGGACTATGACTTAAGATCAAAATGCCTTGAATATTACAAATGTATGTACTGATTTATTAACGTTATTTATGTATGTAAAAGAGCATAGAGAAATATATATGTTACTCAATATAAAAAATAAATAAATAATGGAGAAATGCAGTGACAGGGCACAAAGCATAGAAGCTTAAGGTAAAGCTAGGGAGGTGGGAAGGAAACCAAAATGCAGACCATAGGGGCCTGTGTAGGGGCCTGAGCGGCAAGCTACGGGAGCAAAAGCAAGAGGGAATTATAATCAGTAAGGAGGCTTGCTGTGTCCGTGAGAAGAAAAGAGATCAACTGTCCCCAAATTGCCCTGCATTTCTTTGTACTTAGTTTAGAGAGAGGCAGTCTGCATTTGTGCGGTTCTTATGGGTTCCCTGATTTAGCAGCAAAGGGCGGAACTAAACTACTTTGGTTTCTGTATATACAGTATCTTCCCCACTGTTCACTGACATGAAACATTATAATCTTTTAGCAACCTGTGTTCTGAAGTTATGAATTCTGTTTTCTTGTCTTTAAAAATGGCCTACTTAGTCATAGCCAGTACTTTATAATAATTATTCTGCCTCATCTCCTTTCCCTTAGTTAATTTATCAAGTGTATGCAGTTCTTTTTTTTTTTTTTTAAGATTTTTATTGGGGAATTGGGGGAAGGGGAACAGACAAGTTGCTGTCTTTTTGTTCTTCAGTCTAGTTGTGGAGGACGTTGCTTCACTGGCCCAAGTTGGCACCATCATTGAGCTCTTCCCAGGAGAGGCAGATCAGTTGCCGGCTTCCAGACGGCCACTCATGGTGGCAGCTGGCTACACACGGTAGCCCATGGAAACCCACTGCAGCAGGGGCTGCAGCCTATGCCGTTGCCAGCGACTCGTGGCAACCCAGCTCCAGGTTGAGCTGTTGTTCAGCATCTTAGCTGTAGAGGGCAGTGTCACTGGCCCTCATATGTGGGATCCGAACAAGGTCCTCTGGCGTCCCAAGCCAGTTCTTAACCAACGTGCCACTTGGCTGGCCCAAGTGTACGCAGTTCTCTAGCAAGTCAGACTTGAGCTCTCTGAGCTAGTCCACCTTGGCCTAGACCTCTCAGCCCCACTCTGGTCCACATCAAGCCCAGCCAAAGTCCTCAGTTACCAGAGAGTATGGGCCTCATCTGCTGAAAGACCAGGCTTTCAGCTCCTAGACACGGTCAGCATCCAGCACTTAGTTATCACACTCATGCACCTATGAGAGGAATGTAGAAATCTATGACATTAACTTCCTTAGGCACTGTTAGGGGTTGAATTGTGCCTCCCCCAACCAAAAAAAAAAATAGATATGTTGAAGTCCTAAGCCCCAGTACCTCAGAATGTGATTTTATTTGGAAATAGGGTCATTGTAGATATGATTAATTAAATTAAGATGAAGTCATACTAGAGATGGTTGAGTCCTTAATCCAATACGACTGGTGCCCTTATAAGAAAACAGCATGTGAAGACAGAGACACAGGGAGGACACCACATAACAGCAAAGGCAGAGAGAGATAGGAGTTAAGCAGCTGCAAGCCAAGGAATACCTAGGATTTCCAGAAAACCACCAGAAGCTAGGAAGAGGCAAGGCAGGAGTCTCCTACAGGTTTCAGAGGGATCAGGGTTAAGCCAGTCCTTGAGTTTTGGATTTCTAGCCTCCAGAACTGTGAGACAACAAATTTCTACTATTTTAAGTCACCCAGTTTGTGGTACGTCTCTGTGGCAGCCCTAAGAAATTAACACGGGCACTTTACTTCTTTTCTTCTACTATACACTGGCAGTGATAAGCAAATTGGAGATTTTCTGTCAAAATTCCAACATGGCTTAAGTCAGCCCTTGGCCCGACCATGAGACAGCTTTCTGAGCCAAGTGTTTCACAAGGTTCTTTTAGAACTTCAGTATTGAAAAAATTTTGGATGGTACTCAAATGCTGCATTCAACTTTAAGGCAAGCTGCATTGCTGGGGGATACTACCATGGGATTAAAATTAATATCTGACAAGATGAATCGATAGAGGGATTTGCAAACATGGTTCAGCTTAACAATTAGCATTCTTAGTCACTCTTTTTTCCAGGAAAAAGATAAGCTCGGGAAATTTGTTTGTGTTCGCTCTAAAGAATCCATATTGATTAAATTCCAGGGCATAATGTACCATTATCTGTTCTGGGAAGACAGGGGATTATACCCCAGAAAGGCTTCTTGTGGCTGCAGGCAAAGAAACCAGGGGGGATATGAGGGAGAATGATGACAACAAATCACTAGAAATAGGTGTTATATCACAATCAATGAAATATTCAGTTATTAAAATAATGGAAATGATAAAAGTCAAATAAGATTAGAACACAATGTAACAGAACACTAATTAGCAATAAAAAAGAATGGAGGAACAAACTGCTGATACTTACAGCAACATGGATGGATTACAAAAAATATAATGCTCAGAGATAAAAAGCCACACACATAAAAGTACATGCTCTATGGTTCCATTTATAGGATGTTCTAGAACAAGCAAAACTATCACTATCTATGGTGATAACCATCAGAACAGTGGTTGCATTTCTGGGGCATGAAGGAACTTCCTGAAGTGATGAAATGTTCTATCTTGATAGAGGAGTAAGTTACAAGGTACAGATATTCGTTAAAACTCATCTACCAGTAACCTTAAGAGCTGTACATTTCACTATATGTAAATGAAACCTCTATAAAAAATTTTAAAAATACTTGAATACAGTATCTATTAAAACATGTTTTTCTTTTAGAAATGTATCATATAGTCATTGCAGTGATTTGGAATATTTTTTTTTAATTTAAGAAGAAAATTAAAACATCCATATTTCTGCCATGTAAATAATTTTAATAAGCTATGTTAGCATAGCAAAGATTAAATACATACTTAACTGTTATTTATGCTCTTATTACTACTGTTTAAAAACCATTATAGGGGCAGCCGGTTAGCTCAGTTGGTTAGAGCGCAGTGCTCATAACACCAAGGTTGCCAGTTCAATCCCTGCATGGGCCACTGAGCTGCGCCCTCCACAACTAGATTGAAACAACTACTTGACTTGGAGCTGATGGGTCCTGAAAAAACACACTGGTTCCCCAATTTAAAAAAAACAAACGATTATACACATAAAATTATGGAAAATAATTGGGAATTACAATATTGTGACTAGTGTATGTTTTCCCTTTCCTTTTAAAAATGTCCTTTATCTGTCCAATAAATAATAGTCATTATGGGAAAGATGAGAGCAACCAAGGTAATTTTCCTCGAGTGGAAAGCACATTATAGGGTCACTTGGTTACAATCATCACATGTAGGAAGGCTGTGAGCTTGCTGAGGACAGGAAGAGTGTCCCATTGGTTTTAAGTCTCCAGAGCCAAGTACCATGTCTGGCACAAAGTAGAGGCACTGTAAACATTTCTGAATAAATGTTCTCCATGTCCAGGGAGAGTCCATTAAGAATAAATGGATTTTAAATTAAAGCATAAGAGATTTTGGGCAGACATGAGTATGCCTTTGACTGGCAGGGATGATGAAGAAAATTCTAGAATGTCTAATATAATAAAAATCAAGGGTACATTACTATTTGCTCAGGATAGTTTACACATTCGCCTTCCTAAAGGAAGGCGTCTAGAACTGGTGGGGTCTCTAGTCCCTCTCCAGGTATAAGATTCTACTTCTATTATTCCTTCTTAGGAAAGCGGGGATCAGAATCACCCGCCTATTCAGAAACCTTGTTTGGGTGGGAGAAGGAGAGCAGATGGCCAGCTTCAGGTAGAGCCACGTTTGCAGCTACCAGGCTCAGCCTCCACCTCAGCATTGAACTTTATGGAGCTCTCTAAGGGATCTGATTCCCTGCCTGTCTCAAAGATCAGGTAACCAAACTCCCAGGAGTCCGGTCACAGCCCAAAGCAGATGGCAGATGACAAGCTCCTATGGCTAGATACACCCTTCTTGATGCGCCTGGGGTTACACCAAAATTTGTATGGCACTTATTTCCTGGTCGTAGTATCTACAGGATTTTCAGTGTTCCCTATTTCTTTGCCTCAATTTTCTCTAAGGAACATGTAGTGCTTCTGGAGAGAGAAAACGATAACTTGTTTCTGCATCTCAGGATGTTAGAAGTATTCAAAAGATTCTCTTTGAATTAATTTTCAGGGTCAAGTTACTCACCAACTATGAAAGAAATTAAAATGGTGTTTAAAAAAAATGCCTTTTCATTTCCTCCTCCCCACCTCTGTTGAGCAAACAATCCTTTATATAAGCCAATAGTCCCTGAGTAAGCACCCTGCACCTGTCTGCGGCTGGTACCAGGTAGGGTGAGGCACTCCACAACTTACCATGGCCATGACTCTGTGTCAAGGTCAGATTTCAGTCACACAGGCAGACGTTCTTCTGTGATAAAAGCAGAAGGGGATATTACTGTAATGAGGGAACTGTCATTAAAATCATTAATCTGGATAACTGACAGTTTGCATGAAGTTAAACCACAGGGAAATAACACCCAGTTTCATCAAAAGGCCAGCTGTTGATTAGCCAAAGATACAAGGGCCAGGCTAATAATTTAAAGCGAAAACTGTTTGAACAGGGAACTCTATTACACCAGCAAAATACTTTCCTATCTGCTCTTCTGTCTGGAGATACACAGTACAGAAATGATTCCTTGAAGTATATTATGTGTACTCAAGACAAGCCTAGATTCTAAACTAGTAGATAAGAAGAGGTGCCTCCCTAGAGAAGAAATAGATAATCCAGCTGCATCAGGGAAAAGTACTGCACTCCAGCCTACACAGAGTGAATGTGTATGTGTGAGTGTGTATATCTGTGTGTGTGTGTGTATGTGAGTGTGAGTGTGAGTGAGTGTGTGTGTATATATGTGAGTGTGAGTGTATGAGATGACTGGCCAGCAGCCCAACCAACTCTTTTCATTTCCCAATAAACACTTTTACTCCCACCATCTCAAGACTTAAAGGTGCTTCTTCTCTTTAAACTGCAACCTTACACACTCCTTAGTTCTCTTCAGCAACTCCTCCTTCATCAAGAAGGCTCGAATCATCACACATTTATTTAGTCATTTGAATGCAAGAAATGTCTTTACTGTCGGCTAGGACTCTTGAGGGGTTCTCATGATATATAGGCGGGCCTCTGAGGGACAGGCCAAATGACTTCCTGTTTCCATATCTAAGTCCTATGGAAAAAGCTCCTTTCCTGAGCATTTAGTTAGATCCTTGATGCTCCAAGAATCGACCTAGAGCCAGAAGCATAGGCATCACCTGGGAGCTTGTTAAAAATGTAAGATCTCAGGTCCCATCCCACACCTACTGCCAGAACATGCATTTTTACAAGATTCCCCAAATACTTGCCTGCACAGTAGCTTGAAAAGCACTGGCCCAAGCAGCACTTTTCAATTATTTGTCCAGAATAACTAAATCCTCCTTAACCCACTTTATTACAACTTAATTCACATTTGGCCACATTTACTTTTCATCTTCCTGCTTTCCTCAGGTTCAGTTCCATTCTTTCTGTTTCCCATCATTCACTGCAGACTTATCTCAGATTACACAAGGGCCTCTTTGCATTAACTGCTCCCTCCGCCTGAAAGTTCTCCTCCAGAACTTTGAATGATTAGCCCCTTCTCATTAGATCTTAGCTCAAATGTCATCTCCTTACAGATGTCTTTCCTGATTGCCTTGTGCAGGCCAGCTCCTTTCCAGTAACCTGATCACATCATTTTCCAAACCAGGATTCAGCAAACTTTTTCTTTTTCTGTGAAGGGCCAGATAATAAATATGTTCAGCTTTCTGAGCCACACAGTCTCTGTCACAACTACTCGGTTCTGCTGTTCTAACATGAAAGCCATCATAGACCATATATAAATGAGTGAGTGTGATTATGCTCTAGTAAGTCTATATTTATGAACACTGAAATTTGAATTTCATATAATTTCATGTTTCATGAAATATTGTTCTTTTGATTGTTTTGTCAATTGTTGAAAGTGTAAAGACCACACTTACCTTGCAGACTGTATAGAAATAGGATTTGGCCCATGAGCTATAATGTGCTGACCCTGGCTCTATATCCTATTGTATTTCCATTTTACTGGTATCTGCAATTATCTTATTTACTCATTTGTTTATTTGTTGTCTGTCTCTCCTGGCAGACTGTAAGCTCCTTGAAGGCAGGTTCTTTGTCTTACTGTCTCCATTAACTATAACAGTGCCTGGAATGTGAAGGTGCTTTATGAATATCTGGTGGTTGAATAAATCTATATAGTCCATGAGCCACTAAGTCCTATAAAGTTTTCCTGCCACATATCTCTTATGTATATCCTATCCAGGTGCCACACCCTCTCCAATTCTTTGCCTTTGTCTGTCTGCCCTGTAGTAGTATCTCAAGCTTTCCTGATCCTTTATCTCTCACTCCAGGCTACCCTACAGTACCTTGCTAAAGTCTGTCTTTTGTTATATCATTTCTCTTCAAAAACCAAAACCTTTTCACGATTTTCCCATTGCCTACAGTACAAAGTCCACCTCCTCCATTGGACCCTTACGAATCAGTTCCCTGCTTCTTTTCAACCTCATTTCTGAGCTTTCCCTGGAATGAGCCCTGTGCTCCAGCAGCAGCCTCATCTCCTCACTGTTCCTGAAGCCAAGGCTCATTGCCACCTCTGCACCTTTGTTCAGGCCGTGCCCCAGAACCAGTTGGCATTCCCCTCAGGAAGGCATTAAATAAACTTACTGTGTTTGAGGGATGGACAAAAGCTTCAAGAACAAGGGCCAGAGTAGCATGAGATGGGGATGGGGTAGGGCCAGGACCACCTATGGGGGCTTCAACAGGCGCCTCTTTGTCATTTGCTCAGAATGGGCTAGGGTAAGCTGTGAGCAGGACTTTTTAAGACTTTCATGGGCCTTAGCCACTCTTTCAACTGTTTCACATCATATAAATTATCAAAAAGCTCCCATATCCATCATTAATATAATTAATATGTGCTTTGGATTGAATTACTGCTGATTGGTTGACAACCTGGCAGACACAGCTTTTAGCATCAAGGGCCCTCCCTTTGCTTCCATGTAGCTTTGGATTAAATGACAAGGACTGAGGAGGCAGGGGATGGGGACACCTCCCATACAAGCCAGACATTCATACAAACACTCGGAGTGGAAAGACTGCTTGAGCAGAGCCTTCCGGAAATACTGAGTGTTATTATTCGATGAGCTAGAAATATTTTACTAAAGGAAAAAACTGTATCATACTTGAATACAGGGTACTTTTAGCTAGCCAATTTATTTTGAAACTTGGACAGCCCACAGTGTAAGCCAATTTATATAGAGACAGCTACTATATATTTCTTATTTACTAGTACCGAACGAGTTTCTAAATAGAGCAATGAATGCAATAAATGGTACTCCTTGATTCTTTCATTAGATATCAGATAATCCATGCAAAGTGAATCCACACAAATGCTTACTAGCAAAGTGTCTGGCACTGAGTAAAAGTCCTAGGAACTCTTGGCAAGGATGGGGGAGGAGCAGAAAGGAGAAGAAGGAACCCCACAAACCCCTCCCCCAAATACAGAATTGCTGTAAGCCTCTTCTTCACTGCACAAAATGATCAGCCCCCAAGGGATGAAAGACCCTTCTCCCTGAAGCTCCACCTATAAGTCTTCCCACATTTCCCACCATCCTGCAGAGCCAAGGTTTCTTTACAGGAATCTTTTTCTGCCTCAGCTTCCTTGATTCACTCATTCCTTCTCTCTGAAGGCCAGCCTACAATTCCATAAACTGAACACTATGACCAAACTCACAATGGCTCAGATTTTGTGTTGGGGTTTGAAAAGCTCCTTTGCTGCTCATGGGTGAGGCGAAATAATTGGCGACTGTGGCTCAGCTTTGACACCTGTAAAATGCAAACACACTCAAGATCGGGTGTGATTCAAATGGCCCTAAAAGCGCAAGGACCTTTCACGATGGAAAGATGAAGACTGAGGGGACCATATGTTTGTGACACCTAAAAAAACCCTAAGGGTTAGGCAGTATGTGGGTGGGAAATTGCAACGTCTTTATAATATCAGAACTATAAAACGAGGCCTCATGGTAGGGCTCCTGAAACCTTTAAGACACAGTTTTAGAGCAACTTAAAAGAAAGCTGGGAACTAAACTTGAGAGACCTACCCCAACAGCAGCTATGTAAGGAAATAATAAGTTGTAAATAAGTTCAACCTATTTCAGGTAAGATTACAAAAATTTGCAGAAATAATTTATGATGGATTTGTAAAGAAAAATTAGGTATGTTGAGAACACATCCATATTGTTTTCCGGTTGACTGTCTAGAAGGATAATTATTACACCATCCCACAAATTGCCCTACTGTATCACTGCCAGAAATTGACAAGCCAGGTGCTGACTCAAGTATAAAGTTTCTTCTGTCCGTATGGCAGACTACACAGGGACATGGAACAAAACTTTTGATATCAAGTAATATTTCAGTGCGTCATACATGGAGGCAGCTGTGTGGGGCATTTCTCCTCACACACCCAGAATTTGGAAAGCAGACAAATTAGATTGTTCCTGAGCATTAGACCAGTAAAATCAGCCAATAACCACCAAAACAAACATACACACATTCATTTCAAGGAGAAAAAAATGGCTCCTGAGCTAAAGCCAACTTGCTGATAGGTACGAGCATATTTAAAGAAAAATTGGGTCCACTGGCAATGCAAGCTCCACAGAAAGTCCTCAGAGGGGCTTACTCTGAAATAGTTATCAAAGCCAGGTCCTAAGGAAAGAGTGGCTTGGCTCTAGGATCCAATAGTTCAGGGTCAGATATGTGAAGATGAATTTTATCCCACCTAAAACCCTTTGTTATGCTTCCATGGTTGCCAAGAACCCTTTGGACTAGAGTTTGGCTTCCCATGTAGACCAGTCTACAAAGTACTGGAGCAGGAGGATTTTTGTCTAAGTAACAATGATATTTCTCAATGTAAATAAATTAGCAGTGTGTGTGTTTGCGTGTGAGTGCGTGTATGTGTGTGCGTGTGTGTGTGTGTGTGTGTGTGTGTGTGTGTGTGGTTAAGCCTGTAAATATGAACCTGTCCCTTAGAGTTGAACCCCTTCTTTTTTTTTAAAGATTTTATTGGGGAATTGGGGGAGGGAACAGCGCTGGGGAATCGGGGAAGAGGAACAGACAAGTTGCTGTCTTTTTGTTCTTCAGTCTAGTTGTGGAGGATGTCACTTCACTGGCCCATGTTGGTATCATCATTGTGCTCTTCCTGGGTGAGGCAGATCGGTCGCCGGCCTCTGGACGGCCGCTCACGGCGGCTCTTGGCAGCTCACATCAGCTACCGGCCACTCACGCTGGCTGCCAGCCACACATGGTAGCTTATGGCAGCCCACTGT